CATCTTAACATGTATTTCATCATCCCGTTTCTGGGTTCGCAAAACGGGCAAAGGAAAAGAAAGAAAAGAAACAAATTGAGAAAAAGATATTTTCACGAAATGTAGAACTCCTCTAAAAAAAACACCTCTTCATCCTCTACGCAAGTGCCTGATTTTCAAATTGATCTGAAACCTACAGAAACTATCAAAGATATTCTGCCAACTTTCACATAATGCTGAGATCTCTAAACAATTAAAACACATATTTACATTTGATCTGAAACCCACAGAAACTATTAAAGATATTTCGCCAACTTTCAAACAGTGCTGAGATCTCTAAACAATTAAAACATATTTACATTTGATCTGAAACCTACAGAAACTATCAAAGATATTCCGCCAACTTTCAAACAATGCTGAGATCTCTCAACAATTAAAACACATGTTTACATTTGATCTGAAACCTACTGGAAACTATTATAGATATAATAATAATAATAATAAATAATAACTTTATTTAAGTGTCAGTGTATTTTAGCACTGCTGTGCTAATTGGGGACACTGTAAATAAGGAAACGAATATCGTAAATGAACAGAAACTCGTTAAAAACCCCAACTGGTAGGAGGCAGACCAGTTGGCTATTTACAAAGCGTGCAGGAGTTGAATTCGGGGCCACCGAAGACAAATCCATCCAGTGGCAGGGAGGAGGACTTGAACCCGGGACCTCCGGCTTACAAGTGCAGCACCCTAACCACTAGGCAACGCCTAATGATATCCTTGATATTCTGCCAACTTTAAAACATTGCTGAGATCTCTCAACAATTAAAGCACTCATATTTACACAATGTAAGGTGGACATTACTTAGCAGAGGACTCATGAAAAAGTTTCAAATTTTCAAAATATTTTTCAATCAATGTAAATACAAACAGTTAACTTAACTTGAGGTAGAAAAGTACAAAAACTAAGGCTAACTCACAAGTGAGAAATTATTTTCCCATAAGAGTCAAATTGGAGTGAGATTTCATTCTACAAGCATGAGAATAATGAGATATTATAATATCAACACCAAGAGCACATACAATTTGGAAAAAATGTCAGCATTACACCTCACCTTACTGTCAAGTGCCATGGCTCTCTTCTCAGCCAGCTGAGCTGCTCTTTCACGATTCATAAATCCTGCTTTTAATTTGGCTTCAAGTTCCCTCAATTCAACACTAAAAATATTAAATAAACACTTCAATCTTTTATCTCATAAAGACTTTATTTGTATGATGGTTTTCAGAGTATAGTCCTTGTTCAGTGAGTTCACTGCAGTTTGGTATACTTTTAGATGTCCAGATAGCTGAATGCTTTGGGAGCACAGTCACACTAATTGTGAAAAAATTTGCATTGTCCCAACCAAAAGTGTAACTTCTTTCAAGCCAGAGGTACAAGGTGTCATATTACACCAGAGAGGGAAAGAGAGAGTGGCTGGTGGAAACTGCTATACATACACGTACATGAATATTTAATTTAGAGAAGGGTCTGACAGTTGATTTGAGGGGTTTCTTGTAACACCTGAGTGTTAAGCCAACTGTCCATTTCACATCTTTTTATAAATACACAATTTTTGGGAATAAAAAAATTTACTGGAGGGTTTTGCACCCTCTAAGAAAGGAGAATGAATATGATGGCAGGAACTTTTAAGTTCAAAGCTGTAGGGTGCTTTTATTATCTTTTTTTTTAATTGTATAATGCCTTCTTTAGCCTGGTTTTCATACGTTGGGAAAATTCTGAAGGACCTAGTTAATTAATTAATTAATATAAATAAATAATTATTCGGCGCAAATATCTATATGAATATATTCAGATGCGCCTTACAAGTCTCTTCCATCCATCCCACCCCAGGGGAGGACATCCACCACACAGTAATCTCGTGCGTGGGAAATTAACATCTCCTACCCCAACCCTGCAGGAGACAGGGCCTACGGTTTTACGTCCTATCCGAGAAGACGACCTGACCTGCAATTTCACTGTTCCCAAATTGTCCCTGATTTTGGTGATATAATGGGAAATAGACAGGTCTCGTTACCAAATTCTTCTGCATGCCATTTTTTATTTGTGACTCAGTGGTACTGTAGCAAGGGATGGCAGCTTAGCCATTCCTCTTTTTACCTAACAGTGACAGTAAAAGTTTTCATAAATCCTGAATGATCAGCAATCATCACAGAATTCTGGGACATTTTCTGGATATTTTCTGGGAAAATAGAAATATTCCAGATTTTCCCAACTATCCCAGACAGTTTTCGTTTTTCTGAAACATTATGGACTTACTGATCACATACTCAGTGATTGCCTGAAATTTTCTGAACTTGTGAAAATAAGGATCTATTTATCTCCATTCCCCTCACTGCCACCACTGACAAACAAAACTACTGTGTATATTCACTTCTTCGCAGCAAAAATATTTACCACAAATTCACACAAATCCACTGGATATTGCAGTATTAGACGATAACACATTACCTATTTTCTCGTATCTGCTGCGTCAGCTTCTCTTTTCGAAGACTCTCTAACTTCATCCTTTCAAGCTCCTGCATGATACAAAATTGATACAGATACTGGTTTAACTTTAGGTGACTGATGATCAACAAGCCAGGCACATTGACTGTACATGGTCTATCTTTTAATGAAATTAAAAAACATTTAGAGCCAAAATGTGACCTCTCAATGCTTCAAAGGGCCAACCATTTGTTTAGCATGTTATTGATCAGGCAGTTCTAGTAAATAAAATAGATGCACAAGTACATCAACACAAACTGCTTTAAACTTTGAACTTCCAAAAGTCATTAACAAGTAACATCTCCCTATAATATTCACACAATATTCAGCAAAAGGCAATGAGGATACTCAAATCTATCAAGTAGAAGTTGTTAACAAATTTAAAAGGAAATGATTAGCACCTACACTGAAGAGGTAGGAAATTAACAATCATATCTTGGGAGTTAAAGGGTTTAGACTTACTTTAGTTAATACATACATTTTACATTCCACAATTTGTCATAAGTTTCTCTAGTTTTTGTACCTACCATACTCGCTCTATACTTAAAATCAACACTGACTGTATTTTGCCCTTAGACTAAGCAATGCAATCAGTGTAACAGTGTTTAAAAACAGCTCTCAGTTCAGGAAGATCCTCTGTTCAAGGGGCTAAATACCAATATTGTACACCCTGTTTAAACTCAAGCCCTAAAACCTGTACCCTACTTGGCAATACTAACTGGTTTAGGCCTAAAGGATGAAACATCCACCATTAGTATTGGGTCAGTGTGTGTACTAACCTTGGCCAGTCTTTCTTCCTGTTCTTGTTGTCTTTCCTGAAGAATCTTTTGTTCTTGTTGCTAGTGAGGAAACACAGTATCTGATGTTAATTCTGTGTAGTCTCATGTTAAATGCATGTAACACAGTTTAGGCTTCCTTAAACAGGAACCATTGCCTTTGGGAAGCAAAAAAGTTCTTAGTTGGCTGTTTCAGGCAACAGCTGGCCAATATCTGATTTCACCTTGAGGTTCATGAGTAAAGCTGTTTACTCACAGCTAAGTCTGAAGGGAGCCTTCACTGTAAATACCAAGAAAAGTGTTTTCAGTTGAGCAACAATACCAAAAATGACAAATTAATGTCCACTTTGCCAGTTTGTATCTCATTCTGTCTTTGGATGACATACATATTTTTCAGTATTAAGTGAAACAGTTTGAAATTTCAATCCAATATTCAACAATAGGAACTACAGATAATATCAAGTAAAAGAAATAAAATGGAACCAAGAATTAGATCACACAACAACTTGTTAGAGCAAGTTCCATGACAATCCCCAACTTCATCTGAGTAACTGTCACAGCCCATTAGGCTTTTGTCCTGAGAGATCTTAAATTGCAACAAGGCATATGTCTGCGAAACATTAGATTTGTTTTCTATTTGGGTAGGGGGGGTATACACTTTCAAACCAGTTTGTTTTGATTGTTCTTTTTTCCAATTTAAGATGTTGTTTAAATAAAAATTAGGAAGTAAAAACTAGAGATCAAACTGGTGTGAACATGTTTAATCCCAGCAAAAAATTTAAACCAGAGCATACACATTTCTGCTATAGATATTGGGATCCAGTTTGCAAACAAGACGCCGATTACTTGATTGCTAAGTACGAAAGTGATCTACTACTTGCACGCGAAAAATTTACCCACTGTCATAAACAGATACTGAAAAGGAAAAGCCTTTACTTTTCTGATTCCTTCGTCCATTTCTCTTTCAGTCGCTTCCTGGTGAAGTCTACGTAGAAATCGTTTATTTTCTATCCTTTCTTCACTGGACATGTTAGCCTCTACAACACGTTCCTGGTTGATTCGCTTCATTTGATCTTCCCGAGCAATCTCTTTCCTTCTGTTCTCAGCAAGGAGTTTTTGCTGTTGAGCATGACTTAAGTTCATTCTTCGAACAGATGCCTTAAAGGAATTACAGAAATAATAATGCATTAAATGGATGCAATACTGAGGAAAACTCACCGTACTGAGTCATAGACAATCACCACAACTAGCAAGAAAATATCGTACAAATATGCTACTACTAACCATAATATTAACACCAAAGAATTAAATCAAATCCAAAGCGTAAATTTAACTTCTGGGCCACTTTCAAATCCGTGAAAATGCAATATAAGCTTACTAAGACACTACTAGCTCTGATGGACCACCACAACTACGATCTACTTGACAAATTATGTTTGTTGCTGTAACAACGAATGGGCCTCGTTTACATGTTCGCCTCAGTTCTCCAAGTGCTTTTCCTCGGCCTCGCATCACCTCGGAACAACGACTCAGCCAGACTGGGTCAAAGTTACCGCTGAGTGCACACAAGTGCAGTCCATTGTTTTCTTGCCCAAATATAATTGTTGTCATGACAACTAGAGCGTCTCAGTGGGATTCTTTCCACGCGGAGCTTTGCACTGGAATGTCACGCGGGAAACAAAATTCTTACGTCATGCCGAGTTACCTGTTGGTTGTACCTTGCAGCTGCGGGGAATAGCAGAGGCCATTTTAATATTGTAGAAGGTTGTAATGCTTTTCATGTTGTTACACTGCACGTACCAAGCACCTCTGCACCTAAAGCACTAGCTTTGTCACTGAACCGAGTGAGGTATCCGCACAGCACAATTGAGGTGCAACTAGGCCCATGGACACCAAATCGACTTCAGATGATGAGGTTTGAGCACTTATGCCGCGCGCTTTAGACACGATAGATAGAAGTGAATTCACCCACACCCTAGCGTCCGTAACATATTGATGCTTTCTTTTCTAGGTTCGAACCTTGTTCGTGAGCGGCTTGCCAATCGATGTAAAACCTCGAGAAATATACCTCCTTTTCCGAGGCTTCAAGGTACGCTGCGCTTTCTTCGGCACAAGTGTTTTGTCGCTAATATTTTCCGTACAACATCATTTACGGCTCGGCTGAAAATGCCGAAAAGCGAGACATTAATCTTGAATGGGATTCGATAGGCATCAATCTAAATTTCTCTTAGACAAATCAGCGAAATAAATGAAGAGCTAAGTAAACTTATTTTACCGTTAAACGATTTAAATGACTGTCAATGTTTTGTAATCGACTTGGGCAAGGTCGCAGGGTTCAACTAGGTATTGAAAGAAACAAATGAATATTGAAAAGCGTTCGTTTCCCTTCGAGAAGCTTAAATGTTATAATAGCACGGTGCTATTTTCGTCTGAGCCTTACAGCTGCGACATAAGAGTTATTAGCAATAGTTGCAACAACTTTATGTAACTTTTGGTCTCCTGCAAAGTCAGAAGCACAGATTTTGGCAAATATTTGCAGTGCGTCTGGCGCCGCCATTATGAACGTACACGATTTATGGTGTTAAGCTAACTCATCTTTTATGCAAACAAAAAACAAAGAAGCGGCTTGTGAGTTCTCTTTTATTCTTCACAGGAATGTACACGACCCTAAATTTTATAAATAAACGAAGAAGTCTTGCGAAGTTTGCCCAAATCAGAAACTGCCGAATTACGTTCAAAACGAAGAGGGTTGGCAATTTTGCGCAGAAATTGAAAGTTGTAATTATCACTTCGCTATGCTCACGATTCCAGGAGCAATTAAAGACAAGGAAAGCTAATTAGGTGCTCAAAAAGAATAGACAGAATTTGAAAGCGGCATGTGGTTAGAACATTTGCATGGAAGGTGATTACTTTGCGACCAAGTTGGTCAAATTAGAGATACATCTGTTACAGATCCACTTCGTAAACCAACCTGACGATTTAGCTTCGTTTTAGTTCAGGTTGTGATGCATATCTGAATAAATTGTTTATACCTCGTGTAAATCAATCACCATTATCGCGACTGACTGAGAAGTAAAAGGCGAAAACCTAAGTATCGTAAATACTCGATTGACGAAACCGTAGACCTCCCATTAGTCAACAGTTGAAAAGAATTAATTTGTGCTAGGCCCGATTTTGCTAAATAGATAACGGTTTATTCACTAGACATCGAAATTCACACAATATGGTTTGAGTGATATCAGGAAAAACTATTGTTATTCCGAATTGATCTTCTTGAAAACATACCATTGTACTAGCTTCAGTCTTCTTTTACGACAAGATCGACTAACACACCGTACTCGACTTTTAAGCAATACTGAGAATATGTATCATCAATAACTCAATCATTTCCGTAGATCATAATATAACACATGTAATTTTGCATGTTCAAGATTTATTTTTGCGTGGAAGCTCAAATGTACATGTGTCCTGTGTGTTTTAACACCGGCTTGGAATACAACGATAACTGAGTAGGCGTTTTTTTACGAGAAGATTTATCTCATTCCCCGGAACGAAACAATGGGTGTTTTGAAAATACATATTCAAGTTTGTTTTCAATTGATTTGCTTCCCTTCTTTGCATAAAACATAATGTTGCATTTACAAATATTCGATCCTTCGAGATCGGTCTGATATCGATCACCAACAACCCAGTATCGCCACATTAAGAAGCATTAAGATACGACTCTCGTTTCATGCCAAAACCTGACAAACAATAAGTTTTGTCTCCGCTTTTTCTCTGTTGCAGTTACAACAATTTTCTGCATTTAGAGATGGTTTTTAATTCGAGATCTTTGCGTAAAATTAATTTTTTTTTCTTTCGGAAATTCTCGCAACCCACGCCAGCAAGATAATACTGTATTGAGAGCTGGCAATTTTCGCCCAGCGTGGAAGACTAAGAAAGTTTGTTATTATTGTTCCAGGGTTATGAAGGATCACTGCTTAAGCTTACAGACAAACAGGTAGGAATAATAATGATAATAGCAGGGTGGAAGAAACAATTATTAAGCCAACTGTGTCTCACTCTGTTGAATAATACATTTCTACCTTATGGTTCTCATTTCTCATTAACTCTGGGCTAAATAGACTCGCAATGGGTGTAGCGTTTGAGTCTTAAACAAATTGAATCATAAAAATACGTTAGACGTAAATCTACGTGAAGTAGAATATTTGGTATCTTTTTGCAAAGGACCACTTTTCGAAACCAATTTTAACGTGTGCCGTTGAATCTTCCAACATTCTGTTCTTGGGGTGGAATTCAACCTCGGGCCTCGCTGGTTTCCAGGCCGAGTCGAAGTTTCGAATTTAAGATGCTCCACTCCATAATGACAGGAAACTCTCTAGACTGCAAAAATTCAGTCTAAGCTATCAAAAAATAATATCTTAAGAAGTTTTGAAGTTAAAGCCTTTTAACTCCTTTTGTGGGGGGTAATTAACAATGTTAATCCATCCAAAAGTGCTCAGGGTGAGTGTTGGTATGACATGAATTCCTTTAACAAAACATTCTGAGGCAAGCTGTGAGCACAGAAAACTTCCAATAGCTTTGCTGCAAAGAAAAGTATTCAGCGATATAATTACCATCCCATGTGGTCTTGCAAGGCTACTGAATAAATTTTCTGTGCGGGAAATTGTTTCAATAGTGAGCCGGTGCTTCTCTAGGTTCAATTTTTTTTAACTCACTTCCTAAATAATAATAAGAAACAAACTCCCTTGAAAAATGGCGGACATGAAAGCTATGCTCTTCATCTTTACCTTTGATTCTTCCTACAGCATGATTAAATACAGAAAAATAAAGTTTCTAACAAAGTCAAACAATCGATCATAATGACCAACTTCTAAACCTCTTGTATATCTTTTTTTTTTTTTTTGTCATTACAACAGGGAAAACCTTCGGTAAGTGTAACAATACTTATCATTCAATTCTCTTCGTGAAACTTGTAGTTCGTTTATTGATTGTGACACAGAAAAGATGCACGCATCTGATTGGTCCCTGAGAAACCATAATTGATTGTAGATTAAAGATAAAAAAGTCAAATTACGAAAATACTCTGACTGAGCAAATTTTACACCAACACCTTGAAGATAGAAACGTATGAAATTAACTTTATGGTTTCTTGGGATATTTCATAATAATCCAGTTAAGTTTCCAGAGGAAAACAAATAATGTAAGAAGTTTATGATGTTATCAAGTATACCCGCAGTGAGTTCTTTGCACTTTAGTACCCAAACACATGTAACTGATAGGCGTTTCAGTGTGTATCTCATTATAGCAACTTATATTCTTAGTAATTTCTGTCTGAAAAACAATTCATCTTTTGACTTTAGCCTGTTGCATTCGTCACGTTTGAAAGCAGAGAGGAAGCAGAGGAGGCTAAAGCTTCGTTGCAGGTTAGAAAAAAAAAACAAGCAACTAATTTATTGTGTGCCCTATACTGGTGAACGACAGAATATAGCTCTCACCACAACTGTTCAGTTATTTACGTTATTTATACAGGTTGGGCCTGTTCATCTTTAAAGCTGTGTTAAATGGGGGCCTGTATAAATAAACGAAAACAAGCTACGTTCCCTACTATTTGCGAGAAGTGCGTTTTTTTTAACGTCCCCTGCTAAACGCACGCAGGGGTTGACTAGAAAGGGGTTGTACAAAAAAAAACACGCACATACCGATTGCAAAGTTGATATTTGGGAAGTAAAAATGTAATCTGTTGAACTACACAAAAAAATTTATAAATGTTTAAAAACCCATTTTAATATGGAAAAATTTAAGACAACTATGCCCATATTTCAAAAACTAGACCAATGCCTTTCTCAGGAATACAGTTTCAATCCAGTATTTCTATCCTTAGGGTAGTAAACTGAACATTTCGTACAGTTCTAATTCTTTTGTTAGTTTACTTTGCCTCAATTAAGAGACCATTCATGCTTTGTTTTTGTTTTTGTTTTTGTTTTTTTTATTATTAAGGGTGTACGATTCGATCCAGATGTCTCGCAAACGCTTCGTTTGGAGTTTGCTCGCTCCAATACCAAGGTATCCAAGCCGGTGAACAAACAGGCTGTGTTAACTTCCGTTCCACCCTTCTTTCCTCGAGAGCCTCAGCTCAGTAAGTACAAAGTTCAAATATAATACGATCTATTAACAAGTTTTATCAAGGACTTATTAGTTTGGTACGAATGATTTCAACAACGTTGTCATCAGAAAAAGCATAAACAAAAAAGAGGAAAAACCTAGACAGGGATTTATTAGCATATATAACTACACTCTGACTATATGCCCGGCAGCTGAACAATTTCCACAGAATTTCCACCGAAAAATTTTCCCTTCGAGTGTCAGATGTATACCCCATTCACGCCAGCAATACATGTTAAGTTAAACCGTGTTTAACTTAATAAAAATCAGAAACAGAGAAATAAAGAACTAAACTTTCCATAGGGTTCAAGCAGTCGGTAACTTGGATTTTAAATTTGCTAAATTTGAAGTCGACAAACACTAGTCTAAGCAGCTTAAGTGAAGGAAACAAATTTACACCGTGTTTAACAAAACGTGTTTAATAAATGTTTCGGCTTTAGTATGAATGAGTTAATAATATACTCACCGCGTGTGCTTATGCTTTATGTTAATTGATTCGATTTTGCGCTGTCCTCTTTTCTTTTCGTGACGTTTGAGGTTATACCCCTTAGCGATTTCCACCTTCCTCATTGTCTCTGCGTTTCTTTTCTTTCTTTTTTTCAGTGCATACAGAGCTTGCTGCAGCAGGATTTCTGCCGGGACCAGAGCCGAGCATAGCATACCCTGCGTGAGTAAAGTTGAACTAAAGTCTTGATCTAAAAAGCACTCTGAAGCGTTGGCAACTTTGTAACATGTAAGGTGCAGTAATGTGGCCTACATTCAGTGAGAATCTTACTCAAAATGTGTTTTATTGCATTGTTACTTTGCACAATGACTTTTGCAGAACTTTCTGTTTCAGGAAAAAAAACTGTTTGTTTGTCTGAATCCACGAATGACAGAGAAGGTTTTGCATAATATTGAGTTATATGTCTTGTCCATATCGATGAGATGTACGTGTGTAAAACGCTTTCCCTCTCACCAAGCTCAAACCCACGACCCTGAGGTTGGGTCTTTTTTTCAAAATTCAGAGGGACTCTCAACTCGAGGGCGTGATAAATCACTTCTCCCCTGATACAATTAGCACGTTAGAAATAATCAGTTACTGTGCCAAAAAGAGTAAGTACAGCGCGTTTTAAGCACAACTAAAAATGATGAACCAGTCACACCTTGAGGATTGTGTAACGTCTAAGTGTCGGTTTAACTTGTTCTAAACTTTCGCACAAGTTAGGTGCGCAGTACCTAGAATCAAGCAAAAACTACTTTCATTATAAGAAAAGTTAAAAAATAAATAACTGATGATAACATCTCGTAATGCAGTTGATTCTTCTTGTCTTGTCATTCCAACAGGCCAATATTTAGCGACATCATGGCAGCTACAGCTCAACACACTTTCAATCATCATCCCTCCAGTATACTGCAGCTACAAGTGCGTCTTACTAACTCTTACATAGCAAACTGAAGGCGTCTTTGAGTCTAAAAAGGAGAATATTAGTTTTTTGAAAGAATTTCCTTAACGGTCACTGATTTCATTAAGTCTGTATCCTGCAATAGCAAGTATGGTTAAAAACTAGGGAAAGACCTCTGGAAGTGTATGGAAACCCTTGTATTTCGTCGGTAGGAATGAGTTTCAACGGAAGGAAATCCAATTTATCAAATTTTCTCCAACAAATAATCGAGATGAAGAACTAAAGACATACTAAATGTAATAATTCATTCTATATATTTCAAAGTAAAGACAAGATAGCGGGGTTTCTAATATTTCGTACTTCCTTTTCTTTTTCTGCTTTGTAGGCGTTCCCGCAGCACCATCCCATCATTCCAGCACTAGCGTCGCCAACATCTCTTCATCACATGGCCAGTCTGGGAAATCCTCCATGTTCAACACTCTTTGTGGCCAACCTTGGGAAGGGAAGCTCCGAACAAGAGTTAAGAGATCTTTTTGCTGAGTAAGTTAACAATTGATTGAACTACCTCATGAATCATGTCTGTGAACACTTTAGGGAGTTGAAGTTCCAGCTCCCTAAATGTTACCGTCACTTGAACTGTGCAGTGACTTCAACTCCTTTCCCAGCATCCAACATATATTTTTTCTCATAACGTAGTTGCAAATCAAACAAACTGCATTTGCATTTCTGCGCGACAGTTTGACTTTATGCTTTCCTTGTATTATTTCTTTCTCTTTTTTCCTTTAGCTTGCCGGGCTTTCGACGCTTAAAAATGCACAGTAAAGGGAGTAGCCCCGTCTGTTTCGTGGAATATCAGGTATTTTTCTATTTATTTTTATCAGTTGCTCATTATTTACTTAATATTTGGTTATAGTGATAACTCTCATGAGATACAGTAAACATAAGGACACAAATTTCTCCGGAGAGAAAAAATACTTTCACAGTGTATTTGTGATGATTTTTGCGACAGCCATCTCATTGCTTGGCAACCACTCTTTTTCCCCCTTTTTAAGGATATCTACACGGCGACTCATGCTATGAATGTTCTTCGAGGGTGAGTAGTGAGCATGTTTTTCAGTAGCCACCCTTTCGGTTTATCTAACAACGAGGTACAGCTGCACATAAAAATTTATCTCGGAGATTAAGACAAATTTTGCCAATTTTCCTTTGAGAATTATTGTATCAGTATTACTAATTACAATAATGATTTTCAGAGCATAACATGTCAATTTTGTGTCAACTTGTTTAGCCATAGTATAAGCTAATGGGGACACTGAAGTAAACTAAAGTAATCATTGCAGTAATCATGTAACTGCATTTTCTTTGAGCATCTTTTTTGTGAAATAAAAAAAATTGCAAAGTCACCATAGTTAAAAAATTGTACTTCGGTATCATAATCGTGGGGTGATAATAGTGAGATACCAATTAATCCTCGACCAATAAAAATGCCCACGTCTCTTAAACTACCCAAGCAATTGTAACAAAATGTGTCGTTATGAAAAGTAAAAATTGAGGAAGGAAGTCAGTTATTGATCTAAACTAGGCCCTCAAAATAACTTTTTTAGCAAACACGGAGTTTTAAATGTCTATTTTCTCATTTCAATTTTATCTTTACTTCTTTACAGCCATATCATGCAGTCGTCTTCAGAAAAAGGAGGCATAAGGATAGAGTACGCAAAAACCAAAATGGGCGAGGTACATGAATGACTCTTTGTGTCACGCCCTCGTGTGTAGGTACATTTATGCGTGTTGTGCCACTTAAGGTAGTTTTATCAACTTTTTAGAGGTTTGGCTTGACTTTGTTTTTTAATTTAGTGTCTACTTTTCTACGATTCATCAACTACCATCACTGAAATCAACGCTACGATTACTCATGGTTTATTGTTTTCATCGCCCTCCTTAGAGCAATTTTCAATTCAGTCGATAGCAATCCGAGACTGCATTGGTTTTGCTTTACCTTGCTCGGTGATTGAACCAGAAAACTCGCACCAATCTCTAAACCAATAAGATTCAGTACTAAAATCAATCACGACTTGGTTACCCACGTTTTCCTGCACTTTGGCAGTTTTCTTGGTTTAGTTTAAGTTCTCTTTGGCACTTCAGGGTATTTCCCTTTCATCTAATTGGCCTTGTAATTGTTTTGATTTTGGTTTTATGACAATCAATCGAAAAGTGCTCCTTCCTTCTTACTTTCTTTGGTCTGATTTTGATCAATAATTTCAAAACTGCTTCATTTGTAAGTTAAATTACATGGTAATTCGTATTCATTGTAGCTACAGCTGTGTGTAAGCCCATATCTCTTTTTTTAGGTTTTTATTATTTTATTTTTACTATTATGTTTTGTGAATTCCTTAGATAGGACGACGAATCATTTACAATACTCCAGGCATCTTTATAGTTACCAGCACTGGAGAACTCATGAACAAATTTTCTTCCTCTGAGAAAACTTTTAGGAATTCATTTGCAACCCCAGTGGCCTGTAAAAATCTGTTTTTTCTTACGGTTTTACAAAAATTTTTAACATATGTCCTGGTAGGCATTTTAACATAACTAGCAAAAAAACATCTAAGCCAATTTTGGCAGCTGCTGATTTTGAGGCCTCTTCTTGTCCTTTTTGCAGGGCAGGATTGACGGTATGGTCGCAATACCGATGCAATATTGAGACAATATGGAAAAATTAATGTTCCATTCCAAAAGCTGCTTCAGTGAGAAATAAGAGAAAAATACCAAGAAATAATCTAAAGCTACAGTGATGTTTTAGAAGATATTTGTTAAGAAATAGATTGAGCTAATTTATTGCAGTGTTTGCCTGTAAAAATGAACTGAAAATCAGATAACTAAGTATTTATGAAGGAATAGGGCTTTTTGCTGGCACGAAAGGGTCTTCGGATTTTTTTTTAGAAATAACTGATATTTATAACCCTGTTGAGCCGGCGAGAAAAAAACCGTTTTCTTCTCGTAATCATAAAAAAACGAAATTCTCGCTTCTGGCAGAAAATCTTCAGTTTGAATGTAAAAAAGGTTATAAGAAAAAAAGCGAGAATTCTTTTTCTGAAAATGTTATATTTCCTTCTTATTTTTGTTTTTATTTTTCACAAGTGGCTATTTTTCTTAACTAGATGGGAATGGAAATGTTCCCTGTTCCGATAAAGGAAACACAATTTTTTAACTTATTCGAAAAGAGGTGTGATTTGATTTCATCTATTTCCAGGTTTCAATCCAGATTGTAAATATTATTATTAATATTTTACATTAAAGTATTGAATGAAACCAATATTACTCAGAGTTTTTACTCAGTTATCGCTGGATGAAGATCATCTTTAATCAATTTATCTTTACTTCCCATTTACCTTTGTTTAGCCGTCGGTAAACGTCTAAGCAATAAACTATGCTTTCAGTCAGGTGAATCAAGGGTGCTCCATCTCTCCTTTTGGCTGCGTATTAGAACTAGAACAACCTTGCATTCACTCCTCTTTCTATAGTGCGCGAATCACATTTAATGTGTCCCCCAAGACCAAGAACTCTGCGTATTCTTTGAGAAGTGTAATGATCCCTCACCATATATTGCGATAACAGTTTCAGCAGCTCAATAAAACGCACATATTACGTTTTTGTCGTCAAAATGATCACAATCGAAGAGCCATTGCTTTCTATGTGCTAAGTTAACCTTTTTCAACACATTACAAGAAATTTTTAAAATAGGGATCATTTTTAACTAACAGTTTGGTTTCATCTATGGGGATTAGCTCATCTATTACTAATTAATTACAGATTATGAAGTAATCAAAATATGAAAATAAAGAATATTAAAAACCGGTTAGGATTGAATCAATACAAAGCCTGATTATTGCAGATAATGGTTTTAAAAATTTGAAAATAAAAGGAAATAGAATTAGTCCTTCTTGGGATGAAAAGAAGTTTTCCTTTATGAAAAATAAACTGATATCATAAGCTGAGATTTAAATTGGTGAAGTTATAATGCATTTTCGATACCTGTCTGGGAATCATGTCTAGCAATCTAGAATGAAAAGTGTGAAATTACACAAACATTCACACAGCATCGAAATGACTCAAACATTCCCACGGCACCGATAAGCATTTTTATAATACTTCATCTTTACTTTCTCTGTTGTCAAACTTAAGCTTATTTCAAAACACCTTTTCGAATGTAATACATGTTTACTAAGTGAAGTTCAGCTTTGCTCTCTCACATAGTACTTTCGCTAAATTTAAAAACTCTATCATTAACGTTTTTGCCTATCTAACCTCTTTTCCGCTTTTTCGCTGGTTACAACTGATTTGTTTCCTACCGAGAAATAGCGTCATACAGATGAAAGAAAGCTCAGCGAGTCAGTAGTGTATATCAGATTGCTCTTCGTCTCATACAAAGAGGCTTTGATTTTCATTGTAAAAAATTTTCAACAGATGCACGCTACTTGAACAGTAAAATGACTTTGGACAGCTCACTGAAGTCTTGGCAAATATATAAGGGATCACATAAGACATAAGTTCTATTTTTGCTGAACAGCTTGAAATTAAACGACTTTAAAGAAACCGAAATCAAGTTCATATGTTTTCAAATTATAATTTTTAGAGAAAATTTTGCCACTGAATTATTACCATATCACTATTTACGGGGGCTGAAATTTCAGAAAGCCAATATGACAGGATTGCTTATCGCTTTTCCGGCTTTCATATATAAAACTATTACCGACCTTAATTTCGTGGCTTGTTTTAAATTTAACAACCTTAAATTAACTGAATTCGGCTACAACGTGTGTAGCTTAGAGCCATTAGATAAAAAATAACGACATGCACAAAACAAACAGAGGCGTAATTCTCTGTGTCATTCCCAATGCCTTATTTTGGTAAATTTAAATTTAGTGGGTGACGCGTAGAAAATCCCCTTGAAGTAGAAACTTGCAAAGAAACTCTGCGGGGAGTCGTTGTTTTACCAAATCCAATTCTGAAAACTGTTTTTGTTACAAAAAAGATCACGTTTCATATTTGTGATTACTTTTGTAATTTTCTGTTATTATATTTACAATTCTTAAATTCATATGAAAAAAAACCGTGATGTTATTTCAGAAATCATCGAACCCACAAAGAGAAGAGCTGTTTAGTTTTTTTCTTGCGGTTTAGAATTGATGCAGAAGGTACATTTTTCGTTGAGTAGCTTTAAGATACAATCTCGTTGGAATCTTTTTTTTTCTTTTTTAAACCAAAAAGAGGTTTATTACTGCCTGGGTAACAACGGATAAAAAAAATCGGTCAAATGTGAAAAGAGTATCAAAAATAATGCGATTGAGTAGTCTTCGAGATGATGTGTTTTTCTAATAACTTTTTAATTCAATAAAAGTCGAGACCTTAGAAGCAGTTATGTTTTTCCCAGGTCAAAATCTTCCCAGATTGATACTACTTTGTGAAAAGATACGAGGACTCGAATGGAAGATTTTTAAGCCTTAATAACTCGTACTGAAATGACAGTTGAAATAATATGTCAATAAATGATGAGATGTAAGGAGAACGTGTTCCCTGCAACTGAATAAATAACCCATGCAGATTTCGTCACTTTGTATTTTCGTTTGAAATCAACTCGGTACCAAGATTTACTGCATAGCTTTTGGTAGTTTCATGTTGCTAGGTTACCTATTTCCGATTCGATTTTCCGAAATCATACACGGGCATATAAAAATCTGATATTTATCTACCCAAATATTTCCTTGATCAGAATCATAAAACGTGATGTTTCAAAGAGTAAAAGAGAGCTTTTGAATATTTAAACAGAGGTGCGGCTAGCTTTGGGCATTTAAATTCTGTTTCCCAGCTGCAAAAACAACGGTGTGGGGTCGCCTTTTAATCTTTCAAATGATGCAATTGTTGAATGCGCTCGATTCGTTTTTATTTTTCTTTGCGAACATTGTTTCTTTCCCCTGTGTGTCTTCTTTCTGTCAGCCTTCTTTACCTTTTATGTGAAGGAACTCACAGTGTTTGAGAAATGAAATTATTCTAACGTTTCATAATAGCAGTATAAATAAAAATAGTCCCAATTGAATTATGCATAGCCCGGTCTATTTTTCGCACCAATTTTTCGTCGCCTTTTGACTCACAAAAAGACATTGAAAGAACTCTGCGTAATTCAATTTGATTTTCCCTCTCCGCTCAAGTAACACAAAGTAGTTCCAGTGTTTATTTATTGCAGATGATAACTGTTGATCTTGGTTGTTTTAAAAGTGTTTTGCCGTGGAAAGCGGTGCCAATGAAAACCGCCAAAAATTCTTAAGCAATTATTTGATGAGGCCTTTATGAAAGGCATCATTGTCACTCCTACGTATTGGCAACTCCCACTAATCATTGTTTTCATGACATCTAAAAATTTGTAAATGTAAATCTCGTTCTACAGTCTATAAACAGTTGGCTTCGACTGTTTACATTGGAGCCAAGGTGGTTTAAAGTGCTCCAAATTATATTATTTTCACGCAAGGTTACTCCAGTCGCAGCAATCGTCACCTTATTCGGCGCGATCGTTCTTGGCATTAAGGACGTGGTCAACTCGATGACTCAAATTAACTTCGCCATATGAACGTTGCGAGATCATGATCTCTTCGTTCTCGGAGGGCTCTCGCTGAGATTTTACTCCATAGAGTCAAAGATTATGTTGATTTGAACGGCGTAATCTCTAAAGGTTTAGCTGGTACTTTTGGTTCAGTCGAGATTAACCTTGCGCTTTGGAATGGAGAAGAAAAAGGTTTCCAGATCAGCGGATGACGATTCGTCGAAGCAATGTCAGAAATTCGAGGGAGAATCAATAAATTTGGCCAAAAAGATCTTAAATACCGTTGACAAGGACCTCGTCGTACCAAAATTGTCCTTCTTCTTCTTTTTTATGGCAACCGGCGCTTTCCTTCCTTATCTTGGCGTGTTCTACAAGCAGCTGTGGCTTACAGCTCGACAGTCTGGAATTCTGCTTGGAGTTCGCCCTTTTGTGAAAATGTTATGCTCCCCTCTCTGGGGAATGGTCACGGATGTATGCAACAAACCGAAGCTTATTCTACTTGTGTCTATTCTGGGAACAACTGTGGCCCATTTCTCGCAAAGCATAGTCTCGCCGTTTCATTTACCTTGCTACCCTGATGTGAACAGAACAAACTTTAGCCAAATCCGGTCAAACTTGTTCGCCCAATACTCAACTGATCGTTCTTCGCGACAAAGTGGCTTCCCAGCCACTTCAACACGTTTGCAAGAAAATTCTCTCGTAAAAGGTGCCGACCAAACAAATTATTCATCAGCTGAAAATGCCGGCACTACAGTTCGAGGGTCGATGGCGCCAGAAAAATTCCTAAGAAATAATGATTTTAACAAACAGAAGGAGGTCGGGAAAGAAGTGCATCCCTTCGATTATGGGACAGCTCAGGAAGAAAGCATGGAAGACACCGGACCAAGGCATGACGATAAGCCGCGAGAAATCACCGACGCAAATTCCAAAATATTGACAAAAAACAAGAAACGCAAGAATCCTAACATGAAGAATGATTTCCGCGTCAAAGACAACCAAAGCATTTTTGCAACTTTGCTTGTGATTGTTTTTCTGGGTGAATTTATAGCTGCACCAGCTCCAATGCTGACCGATAGCGGAACGCTTGGTATCCTGAGTGGAAGGGAACACCAATACGGCCGACAAAGGCTGTTCGGTTCGGTAGGCTGGGGAATCGGTTCTTTGCTGTCAGGAGCCGTTGTGACAGCTTTCAATTCATGTCCGTATGAAGACAGCATCAACTATGTGGCGTGCTTTTACGTATTTGCCGGAGCCATGATTCTCGACTTCTTCGTCGGCCTGTTCTTCAATTTCGTACCAGCGCCGTCCAAACAGGATGTCTCTAACATGGAAAATGAGTTTTTAAGGGGACTGAAAATATTTTACAACCTAAAGAATGGAGCCTTCATCTGCACACTGTTGTTTCTTGGGTTCTCCCACAGCCTGCAGCTTTCTTTCTTGTTTTGGTTTCTTCAAGACATTGGAGGAACACCAATCCTTTTTACCCTCATTGTCGCTGTAAATTGCCTGTCAGAGGTGGTGATGTTCTTCCTAGCGACTTACTTTGTGCAGAAGATCGGCCACGACGCTGTTCTTTACACAGGGCTTGCCTGCTATGGGTTACGATTTTTGCTCTACTCGTACCTTAATGAACCATGGTGGGTTTTGCCGCTAGAAGCTTTGCAAGGCTTCACATACGGAGGAGTTTGGACAGCAAGTGTTGCCTACGTTGGACCGCAACCAGGTGAGGAAAACGGTTTATGTTCAGAAATTTGTGGCAAGAGACCGTGAGCCGTTTCTGTTTATTTTAGATCAAAAATCATGGTAGACAAAATTTCAATTCTCTAAACTTCAGCAAATATCAGATCTAGTTGACATGCATTTCAATGTCACATTTCATCTTTTGATTAATTACCTGTGCTCCAGAAATAGAGAAAGCGAAATTTTTAATACCGGACCGCACCGCTTCAATATTTGTTGTTTTGAAAGGAAATAAGATCAAACAAAACTAGTTATTCTCCCAGTCAGATTACAGTATTTGTTTTCGTTTGCGTTATTAGATACCGGACCTCATGCAAGGAAGTCGTAAACGACAATATGGAAAAGTTTCAGTGGGCTATGATTTAAAAACACCATTCATTTAGTCACTTAGAGTAGATCAAAAAAATCTCCCCTGATAGTAGATTTACATTTCAGTTGAAAAAAACTATCAAACAAAAGCAAAAGATATTTCAGGTTGAAGGCAAAATTATTTTTTTTAGTGCATATAGAGTCCTGGAAAATGTTTCTTATTCATATCGAAGTTATAATTGGACTTAAAGCTAAGGACACTTTTTTTATGTCACCACCTCTCTACATAAATGAGATTCTCAATTTTTGTAACACCCGCTCATCAAACTTAGAGGAAAATTCACTTTTTAAGCTAATTAATTTGTCTAAGAACCAAAAACCATTAACTGTATCGGTAAACCAACACCTCATGCCATAATGAAGCTTTGGCTCCAATGAATAAACTAAGTCGCCGTTATTAAAAACACTGTTATTCAAATTAGTTTACTCTCAAACGCAGAGTCTCGTTTAAATAGGTGTTTTTTGTAAAGATTTTTTAATCCAGGGTCAACTCAACTACACTTCCTTTTCATTTAGTTCGAATTATTTGACGGAATTTCAGTGGGCGCGTTGCTAAGATACCATTTGAAAGACTTTATTCCTTAATTTCAAACTGAACTGAGGCGGTGAATTATTGATACCTTCTTCATAAGCTTAATCCTGTTTTTCTTTTTAAACCATTCATCAACCTTCTTGTCTTTTCCGGAGCATCTGGTTTTTTCACCCAGGTTCTCTTTCAAAGGAAGTTAATTGATCTCCTTTCCATCTGATTTACTTGGCCCACCTCCCCCTCATAAAACCAATTATGAAAGAAATCATTTTTTGGGCCGTATGCTTTATAATTAAGCTGTCTTGGCCGCTTGTTAATAAGTAATGGTGATGAAAATTTCCTTTTATTTGACCATTGCAAATCTTCATAATCAGTGGAGAAAAAATTTTTTTTGCTGATTTTTTTTTTTCAATTATTATTATCATCATTCTCTCAATTTAAATAAGACAACGTCAGAAAGCTGAAAAAACAAATTCACAGTTGTAACGAATTTCTGAAACGAATACATAGAATGAGGTGAAAAAGCTATTTTTAAACATTTCAACAATTAGCCGCAGTTGGTGTTTCCTTAAAGTTTCAGTACATTTATCTGTCATATCAATGATATCAAACGAGAGTCTGTGGACCCTACAGTAAGTATGTGAGGAGACCTGGGTTGGTCTATAATCGAGCTGACCAGATTTGCGTGATCGTTGGCAACGCAGGCTTTCCCATACAAAAAAAGACTCTTATCAAAACAATACTTTGAAAAGATTTTTAAGTAAGGCGGCTCATTTATCTGAATATTGAAAAAAACTAATTGAAATTGGATTCATCAAACCATTTTACCTCAGGTTTCTATTAAATCTGTCAAATTTTAAACACAAATGTCATCCTAAGTTTAGTCAGCGCGTGAAAAAACCTTGCGATACAACTTCCCGTCATTACGTTCAGCTTCTTTTACTTGCTAGAATTATTTTAATTCCATTTCGGATCTGAACTCCGGCATCTCCATCGCGTGCAAAGTGTGACCATGTGGTTTTTTTATCTCTCATCGGTTTTTATGGCCATGATCACGAAACATCAAGTTAAGCATAATGCAGAAAAATGAAATAAACACTTCCCAAAAAAATCCAACTTGAGAGGCAAATATGTGAAAAAAATGTCATCATTTATTTCACACTTTGCTAGAGAACCAAGTATTTTACAGATCAACGAGTAAAGTTGATCTTCATTCAGTAAGTTGTTTTGTCTGTTAATTATATGGTAACAAAACATTGATTCCGATTACATTTTTCATGATATCAAGGCTTTCAAGCCTCATATGATTGAAATCAACCTTGACCTTGAATATTTAATACTTCGCAAAAATCTCATCTGGAACGACAAGACTAAACTAAAATAAAGTTATTTTTCGATTCGCTCTAATGAAACTTTTCAATATATATTTGTTTCCAGGCTCCGGAGCCACGATCCAAGGCATAATCCACGGGGTGTATTGGGGTCTAGGTATGGCTGTAGGCGGAGTCATTGGAGGGTTGATGGTTCATTCGATTGGCGCACGTTTAACATTTCGGCTCGAAGCGGCCTTGTCCTTTGCAATTCTTGTTCTGTTCTTCGCGATCAACAATTTCCATCAGAAAAATTCTCAATATTCCCAGATTCCTTCGGAGCCTGCTCAGGACCCGGGGGATGAAAAAGAGAGCGCTGCAGATCAAGACACAACAGGGGATGCTAAATGAAGTAACTAATAAACAAAATTTTATCAATCTATTTATTAATTTGACTTATTTATTCATTGAACTCATTGACATGAGAATTTCTCAAAGGAAGGGAGATATTATATTTGGGTAATTTAGTTGTAAAATATTTTCAGAGGAAAATTTATTTTATTTTTCGATTATTACGAATATCGATATCCGGGGAAACGTTTTGATTTTTTAAGCAATCATGGGACTGGGCAACGTAAGGTAAACACCATTAAATTCAAAAAGCACTTTATTTAAAAGTTAGTATGATTCAGATTTATGTTCTTTAGTTAATCTATGCTTTGCCATTAACAAATCTAACTGTAATTGTAACATTCTTAAGACGGAAAGAAAAAGAAGTTATGAATTTCAGTTTTTCTAATAATTGCTGAAGGAACGATTTTACAATAGACGATAGACGATTTTATGTTTACTAGATTCAAAACTGTCTCCTCGATTTCGTCAGAGGAAAAAAATATGATAATGATAAAGACATCTAACAAGTTTCTGTTGTTATTTTAAATGAATTATGCAATGAACAGGTGAATCACATGACTCTAATTTAGAAATTAACTGTTTATGCTTCGTTTTAAGAGCAAAACTCTACACCCAATGTCTTGAATTGGGATTGGTACATTATCAAAGCGTCCATGACCAACCTATTAGTAGTAAGGTTAAGTTTAAGCCATGTTTGCTTGTAATTTAATTTGGACAGTTCCCCGCTGGACAGGTGCACGTGCTTAGATACAATTTTCTTCTGCTTATGCGGTAGCATGTTTCAGGCGCTAATTGAACAAGGCGCGATATTAGCCCAAGGGGAAAAACGCAGGAGGGTTTGAGACGGGTTTCAATATTTCGGTTACGAGAGAAACCATTTGAGTATTTTGTTTTGTTTTGTTTTTTCTGCATCGCACTTGCCTTGAATGGAAACCAATGGGAAAAAAGGGCCAAACGCAGGTTACAAACCTCCTCCCTTTTTTGGTTTTACGCAATTAACGCCCGTAACAGACCAGTTTTAAAGCATTTGTTAGCGTTTTAAGGTCGATAACGAATTTATTTTTAAAGTTAGTTTATTATTGATGAGATGATAAGGGGGGGCTTACCAACCGCCGAAGAGAATTCAAAAAGCGAAAATTTCCTGTTCTAGCCTTTCTTATCATTCTTGGACTCAACACTGATTAAAGTCTTTTGTTTTTAGTTTGAGAAAGAAGTTATTGGTTTCTTTCCGAGTTTTTATTTTTAGTGACAAAAATTATTGAGGAAGGGAAGGAAATACTGGTAAAGGTATCTGGGCTAATGAAGAAGTGTGAGGAGAAGGTGACATGTGGAACTTGTTTTATGTCGCCGATCATGAATTCCTCTGCCACTTCGTTAAAATATTACTCGTCTCGGGGATTGTTGTCAGGCTATGCAGGATTCGGAGCAGTATTATAATTTCGGTTGCAAAGTAGTGGTCAAAAGTCAGAGGATGCACTATCATTGAAACGATAACGAGGGGGGCCGAAAGCTTACTTTTAAGCAAGGAGAACCAAGTTGCCTTACTGGAGCTAAAGACAACTCTACTAGCCATTAATTCATGAAATTTCTACAGCGTGAAGCGTTTGTTTTCCCTTTTCTGTTCAAAGATTTCTGTGAATACTTCAGTTATTAAACAAATTTTGCGTGATAGCTGTTTCTTATTTTGCGTGGCTGGTCAAACTTGACCCATTTGCGCATGCCCGTTCCTTTTGCGATGCATCGAAAGACGTTTTACTATTTTTATCGATCGAGATTTTCCCACCCCACCCCCCCAGAAAAATTTTCATTGGTATCGGCCTGTCTTCACCGCAAACGAACGCAATCAAGTTCTTTTATAATATTCTGCGTACCATTGTTGACAAGGTTTCAGGTTCTGACTTATCATCTATTGGAGGACAGATGCATGGAATACCTCACCATGAACAACTTTTTACTTCTCTATTATAAAAAAAATAGATTCCACGTCGCCGAGGATCCATTCAGTTCTAAATCACAGAAGAAGTTAAAATTTGGTAAGAACATCAATATCTCTCTCGGCTGCGCCTCATGTGCCATTCTTTATGTAGCTACTGCGCATGCGAGTAGCTTCTATGCTATCGGTTTGATGGATAGGGACACTTTTACCGAGGGTTTTCGGAGACCTTCGGATCACGATCGATTTTCTTCGGCGCACGATTATGCCGGTAGTAAATTTGATAAGCATCCAATTTCAGTAGACTTTACAGGTTATAAAAACACAAGCAAACGTATTGTTTTTTAGAGTTCTTATTACATTTTGACGCCATCTGTGATCTATTTCTTTACAGACTCAACATGGAGTCTATTTTTTAGGTTGATGTAACTTGTAAGTATTGTTTACAGATTTGTGCTCGTTACCTTAACGTATTTATTTTTCATCAATTTTCATCGAAAGAAGACAAAAAGCAGTGGAGGAGTAGGCTATCAATATAAAGGAATTTATATCAGGAGACAACCTTTTCTAGAAAAAGCAAATTTTGCGTGCTTGAAATGTTTCAAGTATAGAAGGCCTCGGGGGGCAGTGTATCAATCAAACCATTCTTATCTAAACTATTGGAAGATCAAAATAATGCTCGTCAAAAAATTTTTGTTATGAACCTATTAGATGTGGCAAATGTTTTGAAAAGTGACACATTTAAGCAAATTTCACTTGATTTGTGTTATGCTAGAGGATAAAGATGTAATAAGTCTGCCAACGGCTTACAAACGACTTAATGATTTTGGCGCAGCTAACAAATAACTGGCTTGTGAATAAAAATCATTAAAATGCAAAAGCCGTGCGAACAGCTTAAAGGGTTTGTCCTGTTTGATTTCTTCAAAAAAAATTAAATAAGTAGTTGCATTTCTAGTAGTAGCTTTGTTATCACTTGCTTTGCTTTGTTTTTTGTTTTGTTTTTTAATTTTTCTGTGCGAGCGTCATCACTTTGAATCTAGGTCCTCTAGTTTCTTCGTTGCCACCCTGTTGACATCAGTCGAGCCGGTTAGCCTGCGGTTGACTGCCCACATATGAATAAATATGAGACGTATATTAACATATTGAGTTACGAAGGGAGACAGATAGACCTTTCATTCTTGCATGCTAATGCGATTACCAGCGTCGGTGACGAGAGAGCGGAGTTTGTTTTCGACTTCTCGAGCGATTCACAAAAAATGTGAGCAAGTTAACAGAAAGTGTGTTTCGTCGAATGATGATTCCAACGTCTTACCAGCCTATAGGATCTGACTCACCTTCAGAGAACGACGACAACCACGACGAAGAATTAGAAGACTCGCGACAGTCGACATGGCGAAGAGCTATTCAAAGAGTGCGCCATATAGATAAGAGCTTTGTGGTATCAAAAGCTTTCTATTTTTTCTTCTACACCGCATTAGGTTCGCTTTTTCCGTTTTTTAGCCTATACTACAAACAACTATGGCTGACTCCTGGGCAGATTGGCCTTTTGCTTGCTCTGAGACCCGCCGTCAAACTTGTATGCTTGCCGTTGTGGAAAATGGTTACGGATCGATTCAGTAGGCCAAAAGTGGTGTACTTCATCTCAATTTTCGGTTGGATCATTGGTTATTACGGCCAGTCCTTTGTTTTTCCGACCAAATTACCTTGTTATGGTTCTGCAACAGAAATTTCAGCCATTCAAGATATTGCATTTTCGACCCCAGCTTCAAATATAAACAGACTCAACTCTACCGCCAAATCTAGCAACATTACAACAAGGGAACTTACTTTGAACAAACATTTGTCTACTTTTGTACAAAAATGGGACCCAAAAAGTTATCAGAAATTAAGCAAAATGAAGAAAACAGATGGGAATTTATTGGAAAGTGTCGTTAAATCGGAAGACGCTTCTTCGAAAGCAAAACGTTTAACGTGGTCGCAATTGAATGGTCATTATGCAAATATCGACACAGATGCAAAATCAAGAAAGAGGAGCTTTGTTCAGCGAAGTGAAAGTACTTTTAACTTATTTCCACGCGAAGACGCATCAATTGACGATTTTAGAAAAGTCATTAACGATCCACAAAATGATAATCGAGGAAAAAAACTTGTACTCAAGTCAGATTCAGCACAGGAAAACATCGTAACGAAGCATAAAAACAATGAGCTGCGGCCCTACGAAACAGTGAACGATATGCAGAGAAGTCCAAGACCAAGTGAAGATTTCCGCGTCAAATACAATACCTGGGTTTTTCGTACTCTCATTTTAATAGTAATTCTTACAGAAATCATAACGACACCTACGCCAATGCTAGCAGACAATGCTATCGTAAGATCTCTGGTGGAAACTGACAGTGTGTATGGTAAACAAAGACTTTTTGGTTCTCTGGGACTCAGCTTAGCTGCAATACTTGTCGCTGTGTGGGTGTCGTTGGAAACTGACTGTGTGCATACAGACACCATCAACTATGTCCCGTGTTTTCACCTCTTTGAGATTGCCATTGGAGCTACGGTTTTGGTTTCGCTCTGCGTTGAATTTAATAGACCTCTTGAAGAGAATCCGAACGAATTTGACTTCAAAGACGCGATGAAGCTGTTTAAAAACTTCAAAAACGGCGTGTTTATTGTTACACTGTTCTTGTTTGGATGTTTCCACAGCCTTCAGAATTCGTTCTTGTTCTGGTATCTTCAAGATCTTGGTGGAACCCCTACCTTATTCAGTGTTATCCTGCTCATTTATTGCCTGGCTGAGGTAGTAATGTATTTCATTTCGGGGTACGTGGGTGAGGCTATTGGTCAACAAGGAATCATCTGCCTGGCTTTCGCCTGTTACACAGCCAGGTACCTCATGTACTCCTACCTGAAAGATCCTTGGCTTGTAATTCCTATGGAGATGGTTCAAGGGATTACTTATGGAGGAGTGTGGTCCATTGCCACGGTTTATGTGAACGCGCCACCAGGTAAGTTCAGGCCTTTCAATATCTCAATACAGACAGTTTGACTTGATAATCGCTAGAAAAAACTATGCTGGCAATCCATTCTATACTTCTATGAAAAAGACGGATTTAACTTGTTCGGTACAAAACGATAGAGTCAGGGAATTAAGGGAGTTTACATCAGGAACAAAGATTACAGTCAACGCCATCTCGGAGACTTTGCTGTGGCTGCAACATCAAGCACAATGTAGGGCAGAGTAGGAACTGTATGCCATGTCTGACAGCAGTTACTGGATTTCAATTTAGCCTTTAAGGCGGTACACTGAAAATAAGAATTACCTACTCACCTAAATATATTAATCATGCGCCTGGCAGGCTTTCATTAGGATGCTTGACGCGATTTCTTTTTTCCTACAACAAGATGTAAACAGAGAGAGCATCAAATCGGTTTATGTTTTCCCGTTAATACGGTACTGACCTTTTTGCACTATATCCCTCTTGTTACGTTTTTTCCTCAGAAGCGACGCCCATGGTTCAAAGCATTCTTCATGGAAGCTACTGGGGCCTGGGAATGGCTCTCGGTTCAGGAATCAGTGGTGTAATCATCGATTTCACCAGCCCGCGCTCCATGTTCCTCGTTGCAGCAGCAATCTGTTTCCTACTGTGCATGTTTCACTTAGGAATTGACATTTATAACAAAATGAAAGCTTTAGAGGAAGAGCAAGCTCAAAGGCTGGCAGTTCAACGCGGTGAAGCAAAGCCGTCTAAATCCCATGAAAGTGCCTTTATCGGGGCAGCGGCTGCTCCATTAGTGCCATGCCTTCTTTACGGCAGATAGCGTTGAAACATTTTTGTAATTCGCATTTAAAATTTTTCCACGTTCATTTGGAGAAATCTTGTAAGGTCACTAACTTTGTCGAACTTTGGTTCTCTGTCTGTCCAAGTTATTTCGTTCTTAAATTTTGTTAAGGGAGTAAAACAATATTTAAAACAAGAACTACATACATAGCATTTGTACCTAGAAACATATTTAAAACAGTAAAGGTACGGTCAGTTACAGGAAAAAGACGTTGTTGTTGTTGTTTTGAGGGGAAGGGGAGGGGGGGTTGACTCTTAACAAAAGTTGCTATCAGCTGTTTCAACTTGTGACCAACTGGAATCGATAAAAATGCAACTGACAGTGCTAAGCGCCCAAGTCCCTCAAATTCCCCTTGAATCATTGAGACAGTTTGATGAGTTTCTCTAGGATTAGTAATCGCACTTCATTTTACTAACCTTGAAATACGCCCGAGCAGAGGTGACGTTAAAAAACCAGAGGAGCGATTAATTCTGAACGAGCGCTGCATTAATGCCATGCGGCTAAAAAATCGACAGAAACAGAACACAACACGCACACACTTTACCAGCTTGTTTTTCTATTTGACCAATCGTTACACAATATAAATGTATGACATGTATCACTCCGCAGTAAACTAACCAACTTAGTTGTCACGCATGCAGTCTCATGCATTTTCTATTTAGGATATAGGAACTATCCAGAGGCACATGGGATCAAATTCTGTGTGGCTACACAATGTACTTAATGGACCAGCTCAGAGCATCATGAACGTCTGTTCAATAATTGCAGCTTATAACCGCAGCCAACAAAAGAATAACTACTGCAGTAATACGGGGCTGAATTTTGCTTTCAGCTGCTTTAGGGTTAGGCTCGAATTCCCATTCAATAAAATGGTCCATATTGATGTCGAGTGACAGACCAGTGATTTTCAAGACCTGCCATGAAACGAAAAAACGGAGAGAATCAATACTTGCTCTATGTTTTCTGTCAGATTTTATGGCAAGAACTGTTGAACAGAGGTTTTTTAGCTGAAGAAAAGGAAAACTCCTGAAAGAGTGACGAGGGAACATGTGTATTCTCAATCTGACTCCGTAGACAATTACGCAGATCATTCCCCTCTCCAAACGGTATCAATGATTCAACCCTAAATTATTCTAATAGTATCTTTGCCAGATTGAAATTCTAAAAGGTGTTACACAGCTCAAACATGAACAATTGTGTTCTTAACACCTAAAAGATGGACATGCAGCGCATGGCCAGATTACTTTTAAAACTCCTTTAAAATATTCGACGATCAACCCTGACGTTTTGTTATTTTCAAGGTTAATTTCACCCTTTTTTTCGCCACCTTCCCTAGTGAACTTTCCCTGAGAAAACAAAACCATTGGTCAGAGAGAAGAGGACGGCTACCTAGCGAGTGTGTCCCTTAGAGGGGGTTGCCGATGATTTACCTTTTTGTTATTGTCGTAGGTTGCTTTCTCTGACATGCCCCTCCCGTTGACGCTGAGTGAGACAAAAATACCCGAAGAGAGTCCGTACACGTCTACTGAGCCCCATTTAGGAAGGTCTGGTGCGGCGAAACCATTCTTCTCAACAGAGAATTTTATCCCAGACTAACATGGCAAAAGAGAGCTGAACATTAAAATCATTAGTATCTTCATTATTATTCCATATTTTCTCATGAACTTGAGTGTTACAAACAATTAAAGTGCCTCTGATGATATTTTCAAGTCTAAAGGCAAATTATATTACTCGGACGAACCTTTTTTTTACTGAATAAACTTGAAAACCACCAAATCTTCAAATTTGGCGCTTCGGTTAAGAAGAAAGCAAATGCCTGGTTAATTTTTCAACAAAGGGCGGGAAACAAATCTTCAGCTGGAGCCAGTTCAGTGATGCACTTACCTCTTGGCCTGAGAACTTTATCAGCAGGTATTGATTATTTTTCACGGTGTCTAACAAAAAAGAGCGATCGTGTTAACTACAGATTGCCTTCTAAGAAAGATTACTTTACGCATGGTTTTCGTAAAACTAAAATCAAAGTAATTGCGACAGCCAATCGGCACAAAGACGCGATCGGTTTTACTTTGGCGTCTTATTGGTTGAGAGGATCGGACGGCGAGAGTTTCTGAACCTATCCAAAAGCCAAGTAAATTTAAACCAATACAGGTCTGGATTGCATTCGACACCCAGTCCAAAATTGCTCTATCTCGATCGTAAAGTTATAGTTCTTCTGAAAGCTTGAAAGCGGAAGTCGACTGTAACTTTTACCAAATACTAAATTACCAAATTTCCCGGAAATACTAGCCCAGCTGTTTACTAACCGATGGCTTCTCCATCGTCCCAGAAGAGCTGTCCTGTAGCTTTTCCATCGTCTCCCAACGCTACAATCAGGCCCAATGGGTTTTGACGACTGAAACAATAGTGAAGCTATATTACTACGGGTACAAAAACAAAAATAAGTGCCATGGCTCTAGATAGCGCTGGAATGAGGCTGCACTCGAGCACTAATCAAACGTTCGTCGAGTTTCATGGGTGCTCTTTCTTCTCACTGAACAACATATCAAAACGTTGGAGGAAACTTGCAGCACGTATTATTATGTTCAAATAACCTCACGGAAGGATGGAAATTCTCCAAGCCAATTTCTGTTCCGGAAACCTTTTTATGCAATATCATTAAACCAAAAGATCATAAATTGTTCATTATCTCTTGATAAAACGCTGTGTATGATGTACAGCTTCGATAGACTGCTAACTGCTTATACAGAGGAAAATGAAGGCACTCTTTATTTGAAAACATAATCCTTTTCTGGCAGGGTTCCGAGATGGAACGGGTAAATTGAGATTATTTTAATCGACTTTCCGACAATTCTTGTAAAAGTTGCTCTCAAAATTTGAAGGAAAAGGCCTCTTCATCATATTGGCCAAAAGATAAATCAAGGTCCCAGAGTCATTAATCGACATTTTTGCCCTTTACTTGAGGTGGTTAGGGTTTGATTGGAGGTTAGCGCAGAAGTCGAAGTGAAATACCTTAAAGCCGTGTTAATGGCTGGTTCCTGGGTTGGGATAATGTGGCCGCCTCGAACATGAAGAGGAATGTGATCAAGTGGGGCATCTAAAGCCAAGTGACTTTTACGGCTACTCATCTCCTTGCCCTGAAATCAGATCCTTGTCAGACAACCATTATTGCATGGGAGAACAGAGATGAGTAAGGGGAGGGCAGCTGACGGCACATATAGAATTGTTATTCATAAAAATAACTAACGCAGCTTGACGCTGTAGGCAATCGACTAAGAGTATCTTTTAAGCTTACTAGTATATACACAATAAAAGTTATGAAAAAATTTCAAAACAGAAACGTAGAAGGCGCCATAATGTCTTTGTAGTCTTTTTTCCATAGTTCGTTCTCCAACATCATTTTGGTGCCATCTGTAAAGAGATCTTCAACGAAGGGTTCGAAAAACAAAAATAAAATGAAACATACATACTGTGTAGAAGTCATACCATCGATCGTCAGGAAAATATGCATTAACTGCGGTCCTACCCTAAAAGAATTATGATATTCGACACTGTTGAAAAAATTTGATTTAAGGACTTAAGTAAAGTGAGGAGAGCGAATCTAACATGCATGTATCTAATTGCGCTTTAAAAAACGACTCATTCGTTTCAAAAGAACGTATAATCTTTCTACAACATGGGTCTCACGAAACAGGAAAAACACATCGCTAAAAGCTGCTTCCAACTTATAGCTAGGAAAATGTGAATGTAATTAAGATAAATGGAGTCATGAGATTTTTGTAACAAACACAGGCCCAAAAGTGTGAGCACCAATTACTTATTATCTCTAAGAATAGGTTAAGATTCTTCAATTTATCTTTGAATGTTCTATTTTCTACATTCTCTACTTCTCCTTAAATGACTACATACAAGCTCTTACCTCATCTAAAACAGGTGATATAAGTAGCGATGGTCCCCACAAAAATTGTCGGTCAATTCCCCAAGTTTCTTTGTCTCCTGCGAACCTATTAAATAAAACCGCACGTATAGCTTATACAGGGGCATGGCAGTGAAGGGAGTGGGGAAGGGGGAAGGGGGAAGGGGGTGAGGTGAGGGAAGGGTGGCCCAGGAGTGCTTCAGGCTCGAAGGGAGGGATGATTCTCTCAAATTCCTTATTTCTTCTGCGGTAGGTTTCGACGTTTGAATTGTTTGGGTTAGGATTCGAACAGGCACTAGCTGCTGTTATTACGTACTCGTGCATAACAGGCCGCACTACAGTGGAGCCGTCCATGTGCGCTTCATAGAACAGTGTATACAAGAACGGCAATAATTTGTAACGTGTGCGGAGAACTATACGAGCGTTTCTTGCAAATTCTTCACCAAATGCTGTTGGATCTTGAGCCTGATGATGGGGAAAAAAACAAGATTTTATTAACCAGCTTCTTTAATCTTACACACATACAATCGCGATTCCAAATTTTTACGCTGAATAAGGTAGTTGCAACTTACAACGGTTAGGTACCATTCTCGCTGCATTCCATTTCTTGATATAAATTAGAATTCTCATATTTGTTTATTTATATTATCCAAACTACGAATAATTGGTTTTCAAAATATGGGGGGTACTAAGTTTCTGAAGAAACTGTGGTGCTGGCTCGGCGAGGGTTTCAGTATCACCTGAGTTCAAAATGTAAACTGGTAACCGAAAAGAGGTTCTAAAGCCGAAGTTTCGAGCGTTACACCTTCGTCACTCACTCTGACTCTATATGGTGATAAATCAAAATTATCTGTTAAATATAGCGTTCAGGCCACAGACACCATAATAATATGTCTTTCATTTCCGTTACGTTACACCACTCGAAGTGACTCCAAATTAACTACTACTTGGTTGGAAATTATGTATGGCTATCCATTCAAGCGACTCGGAAACACATTTGTTTGTCAAAATATAAGCAAATTATTGTTTCCAATAGAAATCGGAAACAAAGGGAGACAAAGACGATGAAATTTTCCTATTTCCAAAAAATTGCTACCTTGTTTCCATAGCCATTGTGGTTTCTGAAGAAAGGGTAAAAGGCTCCCAGTTGAGTCCAGCGAAGACACATCTCACTTGTCGGGTGATCAAAGAACCCGCAAACATCTGCCCCAACCTTGGAAAATAAACATTTATGTTTAACAAATTATGAATCATTTTGAAATGAAAAGAAAGAAGGAGGCCTCGAGGCAATGAAAACTGATTGGAATGACTCAAAATATGAAGTGATCCAATAAATTTCACGAAGGGCAGTTCGTCACTGTCTTGAAAGAGGGTCAGTCTATGCAATATTCACACTGAAAATTAAAATAATATTGGTAGCTACTCACATAAGGAATACCGAACAGGTTGAATTCTAACATTCCTAAAACATAAATAACACGACAAAAACGTTAGCAGCAACATCAGATCAGAGAACGCGAGGTAAAATTCTAGAAAACCAAAACCTTTTTCGCCGCAAAAGGATATGTGAATTCTTCTTTATTTGTTGAGATTCTTCATTTAGGAAATTAGGTCATGGTAGAAAAAAAGCTAATTTATACTATGAGTATCCATTAATGTACCGCTTTGTTTTACCAATAATCGATGTATGAAGCTGGTCCCATGATGCCTTGTTGTCTCCAAGCCAATGCCCGGCATATTTTCCACTGCTGGCGAAAGTTGATCTCGAGATCACGATACTTCGTTTTCCTGTGCTTTCCCTCGCCGCACTAAAAAAAGGAAACGTTGAAGAACATGTCATTCGTCTTGTTATGCGCATGAGGCTATAAGAAATAATTGAGACACCACGAGGAATTTAGCCCCAGACCTGAAAACTAAGCACTCCAATGCTCTATCAATATGCTTCGTAAGTGACACGCGGCCAGCACATTTTCAAGAACATTCCCACTGCAGATAGCATTTTGGAGACAGAAATAGAATTGTGAATAGTCTCTTAATTTTTTTAGAGCGATTTATGCTCTAATGCAGCAGCGACTTTGTGAGCTTTAACCAGTAATACTGAACGTGGTTTAAGGGTCATTAAAGGGCAAAATGGATGCAGCTTTGCAACAGGACTACAATCAACCAGCATCACTGGCTAACGGAAGAGTAACAAAACGGCAGGATATTCTGCTGGGTGTTGGTACAGTCTTGTTTTTTACGCCCCAAATCGCAAAACTGATCTGAAGAAAGATAATCAGTCAAACAATCTCTGATATCTCATCAACAATCGTGCCAAAGTTAAACTGTGACTATTCTGATGCCGAATCCATTTTTAGCATATGTCCACTTACGCCAGGGTAACCAATGTCTGACTCCATCCATACAAGCTGTGGACATTATAATGTAAATCATTGTATTGTTTTGCGTTCATGCACACAGTCTTGTCCGCCATGATGTTTCCCATAATCCCTAAAGCACAAAGAAGCATTGTCATCTGAATAAATGTTTGATTTAAACGATGATAAAAATAGAAAGAGAATTTTCTTTAAAAGCCAAGGTGGTGCAGGAAGAAAAAGGAAAGAGTAAACTTAAATTATTTTACCAAGTAATGCATCAACAAGCCCGGACTGATAAATATTGATGGGTTTTATCGTCTCATTGCTGTAGGTAGAAGCAACTGGTGCCTCTATGGCATGCTTACTCACTTGGTTTGTAAGGAGGATAGTCCCACTTGTTTTTGCTGCATCCACCCACTCTTCCAGCAACAAAGTTTGCCGGCTCATTCATATCCTAAAAAGAGGCAAAATCAAAGTGGTAATACTTGGAGTATACAACGAAGCACCATTGTTTAATTTGATGCCTAACACACTATTCCACTATTGATTTTATTGGAGATGGCAAGTGGTTCGTGTGTCGAATTTCCAACTGAGTTTAATTTATCCCTTAAATGTGTCATAATCACACAGTTTCAACGGTGAAGATGCAATAGTCATACACTGGTGAAGCATCAATCAAGAAAATGCGTTAAGGCTGGAATACTTGTGTTTCAATTTGAGTTGATTCGTTTTCTCTTACTGTAGAGACCTTGAATGAAAACATCAGCAGGTCATTAAAGATCAGTTCAGTAATTTAATTGGTACACTCACAATCCACAATCCGTCAAATTCAATGATTTTATGAAAGTCTTTTATGAGATCCTTCCAGTATTTGCTGATGTTTGGATGAAAATAGTCCGGAAACGCAGCAAATTGTCTGTACAGCTAAAGGAAATAGCAAAAGCAAATCAGTCGTGTGGGAAAGTGCCCTTATGAGAAGCTAAAATCATGAAAGTAGCACATTATATATTATACTTAAGTACATAGCCCCATATGCCCAAGCATGTATCTGTAACCGGAAACGAGGTTAAAATTTAAAATAAGAAGCTTCTAGCAAATTTTTGACCAGACAAAAGCGGCAAATAATCGGCCCTGGCGAGGAAGATGAATTTAGTCAATCAAAGAAAGGGATACGCTTAATGCTGCCCACTCTGCCCACTCTCCAGCAAACGTGTACGAAAAAATGAAGTTGATCAAAGCTACCAACCCTTGTTTTTTCGTCCCAAGACAAGCTGTCGTTCATTGTGATGTTTTCAAACGTCGGCCAAACCTGAAAAAAAATTAGTCAAATGAGGTATGCACTCGAGAAACAAAGGCATCCGACTCCTTCACTTGTCCTCATCTGTCTCCTCCACTAAGGGGAAAGTTCGAATTAAAAATCTCAGCCTTCTATTACTTGCCAAGAAACAGATATACATGGTTCCTATTACGTTCATCTTAAGAATGGCTTTGGTGGAAACAATAGGAGAAATGTGGAATATTCAGGAATTTGATAATTCTACTAGACCTAGTGTTCTTGATGTTGTAGAGATGGCTTTCCCTAAAGACATGTTTGCGTTCTTTTAACAGCGAGTTCACCTTTGAGGATCACCTCGTTACTTGTTATCATTGACAGGTCCAAATATTATTAATTTCATCGTATTGTGAGCCACTTAACCAGCCGGACACAGAGCAATTCTCTGAATCGATCCTTAAAGAGTTACTTGCCTTCCCGTACAGGTTTTTTCCAGAATCGCCATCTTTGATGAACACATCCAGTTCGTTTCCCAGGTCGTAAGGAGGATAGTCGGTGTCATTGGCTCCAATAGCTGGATCCTGGTGATAATGTTATGACTGAGTTTAAAGTTTGATACCAAACCACGCCTGTTCTGACTTTTTAAATGTGGAGACGTTTGTCATTTAGAGAAAATTTAAAGTGAACACAGGAGCCGACGCCCTTTTGAATGTCATCTTTGCTGATACTTTTACCAGCTTCACGTTGTAGAACAAAAGGAAACACTTCTGATCGTCTATTTTGATCGTGAAGGTAAAAGAAGTCTTGAGAAGGACTGTTGTCCGTAAAAGTGTCTGACGTTTTGACAGCCTTTGCGTTGTTGTCAGTCGAGTGTTATCCGACTCGTGTCAACTTATTAGTCAGTTTTACCGTGACGTTATTGGCTGTAAGACCAAAGCACACACTTGTAGCTGTGCCGGGTTCCATTGTCAAGTTATATCCGCTAACCATGATCTCGGCAAAAAACTATTACTAACCAGGATAATAATGTATCGCAAGCCATCGTTCTTGATTGAGCGGACCAATTGAGGCAAGCCCTTGAAGTTGACTGGATCATAAGTAAAGTCTTTCTGTCGGATCATATAGTCGATGTCGCCGTATTGCACATCCTAAAATCGATCAAAGTGATTAGAAGACATGGTCTATGACAGATAAATATTGAATCTAAATAAATTTTTATGGAGGATGTTATCATTGCACCATAAAATGCTATAAGTCACCTGAGGTAAATCGTGTTCAGTCATGTTCTCCACCAGATTCTTTACCGTCTCAATCTTGTTATATCCCCAACGAGAAAGCTGAAATCCAAGCGACCAATATGGCGGCAAAAATGTACGACCTATAGCCTGCGAAATCAGCATAAACAAATTAAAATCTATTTTCCATAATTGATCATAAACTAACGCAGGTAATTTTTCTTTCAGGGTTGACTCATCCAGATCTTCCTCCCCTGAACCGCCTCTGGTTAGCTGTCCTCTCGAATGTGCTGTACCCTCTGTTTATTTGCTTCAAACCTGCCCACTAGAGCGTGAAATGGGCGCAAACGTGGAAATTCCTGATTACATATACAAGTAAAACTTTTAATTCAAAACTACTCCGAAATGACATGACTAAGCAAAGCGTTGGTAGCCGACCCATGAGCCACAGCCAAATTTTGTGAAAAACAAGACCGGTTGAACTAAATGCAGCATGTGATTGAGAGACAATGGAAACAAGATCAAGACTAATAAGAATAATTCCCCTTTTTGACGATTTATGTCCATCATCTTCAACGCCTGGCAAAAGCAGACAAGAATGGTCTCAAAAACATCATTTGCAAGAAGATTAGCGGAAAAAGAATGTAACTTTTTCCTTTTTTGTTATAATCGATTAATACCTCAGTATATTGCTTTATGACATCCTCGGGAGAAGGACCAAGAAATATGTAGAAATCTAGAATTCCTCCAATTGTGCGATATGTTATGGCTGGTTTTGGCTGTAGGGTGACATCTAGAACGAAATACCAGTTAAGTGTTACTCATAAAGCAGTTGTAAAATAATTATTTATTTATTTATTTATTTATTTATTCATTTGTACAAAGCAGTACCGGAGCAAAAAACAACAGGACATAAGTCCCCCACTAGGTTTAAGCTCCAGCCCAACCCCCTCCTAAAATAACTTAATAATATAATTAGACTAATTAGGCTGCTTAACAAGTGCACGCAACAAGGGTACTTACCCGGCGACATTTAGGACAAATTATTTTAAAGGTAAGAAAGTTGTCTCAACAAGAAATTCAACAAGGAATAACATTAACGATTTTGAATGGAACAAAAAAAACTATCATTTGAATGTCCACTCTTGTTACAATCGTTTACATAAAAATATGCCATTAGATGTCAAAATATGGAAAATCTGAATTTGATTCATATGGGAGTTTACTTTGTAGTATAGTTTGAGGTACGAAAACTTGATGTTCTGTTGATCAGAGAAGTCAGAGTTGAAAACTGGGTGTAGCTTCAAATATAAAAGATACCAAGAGAAGCACGTTTGCCCTAAAAGACACGTAGAGGATACTAACATGACTCCTTCCATTCAATGTTCTTTTCTCAAACGCTTTACTCACCCATCGCGTTGCTATTCATTAGAAAAACCCCGTGAGATTTGCCATCGGTTTCCATACAAGTGTAGAAAGGATGGTGGCCATATAAATTTCCACCACCCTGTAACAAGAAATAAAAAAATAGTGAACTTCTACGGTTAAAAAAAATTAATTATTAGCGTAATCATTCAAAGAAACAAACGTTTAATAAGGTACATCGATGGAAAGCTACTCACAAATGGAAACTGGTCTCTTGTGAAGATAGGAAGAACTTCCCAGGCTGAAAGGTTATGTTTGAATGACTTATGTTCCTGTTCACCAAAACCGTACACGAATAAAGAAGGGGGCTGATTCGAGATCTGTATATACTGGTCCTCAAATATAAACACGCCCACAGACGAGTCCCATCTGCAAATGTTATGACAGTAACATAGTCAAGTAACGTCAGCATACGAGCCAAAAATGTTTCTCCTCCCGGTCTAAGTATCATGAAGCGATGAAGGAGTAATGCTACTCCCCCTTTGACGGGTTTCCACTCAGACCTTTGGATCCAGTGTCCAAAGCAATAATTAATCACATGGCTACCGTGTCTTCAACACTTGTCTCCAAAACTCTAAGTAAATAGACGACTCTGTGCTTCGTACTTTTCCTTTTTACAACATGTAATTTCTCGCGATTGCCAGTTCTTCGAGAGGCAAAACAAACAAAAGCAAAATTAAAAAAGTCAGGAAAACAACCCAAGCAATTAAAATATTGAAGTCACCTACATGACGACATCGTTGTCTTTCCGCAGTATTTTCAGGGAGAAAGGATCCTTCTCGAACTCAACAGTATACTTTGCATTAGAAGCCTTTGATGTCGCAATTGGCATAGGGACTGGTACTTCATATCTTTTTTTCTTGGCGTCGTAGAGCTATGGAAGTAAACAAAGCCCAGTGTCAATTTTAACACTGGAGAAAAAAACACAGTGCCGGGATGAGATTTGGTTGCTAATTTCTTGCCACGCTAGTCATGTATAGCCACTACAAGTCTTGAAATTTGAGCAAAGCTTATCGCACGCTCAACGAAATCAGATAAGTTCATTCATTACCTTAAATCTAACACGGTCGTCTGTTTGAAACTCGACATCAAGGACAATCTCGTCGATGTCGTCCCCATAGATAGTCGTGTTGGAGTGTCTATTAAGGGTGGCTCGGTATCCTAGCTGGGTTTCTCGAACCTCTCCATCTATCTTATATCCACCTAAATATGACTTGGGGAAAAAACACCAAGGAACACCCTGCAAGAAGGAAGTTAGGCTTGTTATTTCAGTCAAACAAGGATATGAGCCCTCAAGCTTAAATCATACCAAAGGGGCTGTGATGATCATAGTGGAACTCACTAATATGAATAGAGAATAACATATGGGTGTGCACAGGCATGGAATGTATCTTCTTGTTTTCAACCTGATATCGCGAAATCGAGAGTTGAACACGAGAGGAGAAGTTCCTTATCTGCAGCAACCTTATACTATTTTCTATTATGTAGACACTATAGGCCTTAACTGACAAAAAAAGTTTGACAAACGGCCTTGAGAATTCAATGGTGAACGTTTTGCCATTCATTCATCAACCTGACAGACTGGCGCGAGAGGCGAGTGACGTGTCAGCAGCTGATTGGCGATATCAAACAAACGAGAAAAAAATTACCTCTGGAAAGGTCTAGAGTAAACTCACGACTGGAGGGAGATACGTGTACACAGCTTTCTAAATGTTTTCCTCATCCAATATACTGTTGGGTAATAACAATACGGAACACGTGGATTCCTTTGTCAGTTGAGCCTAAGCCACATATACTTCCATCTGATCTATTGTGAGAATGGCGTATTGACCTCAGTAACCCGAAAAAAAGGAAACAACACAAGACAAATGGAAAAAAAAACAAACAAAACAAGATTTCTGGAAACTGAGGCTGACCTACAAGGTGACAGGTTGTCAGCCTTCTTTATTTCTATTCCAATACTCTGACAACTTCTTTAATTTCATCTTTTTTTCCAAGTTGTCAGTAGTTACCTAATTTAATTAAAAACAAAGAGGTTTCTTAACATGCATTATACTCAGTTGGGTCACCATGATAAGTGATCTGGTCTAAGTGTATTGAGTCCAAGCTTTCTTATATATTCCTGACACTGAAGAACGAGTTATCAATTAATGCAAAATTAGAAAAAACTTGTATCTAATATACATATCTAACATCGAACATATCTAAGACACAGAGCGTTCGAGGGGAAAACAAACCTTTTAGAACTTTCAAAAATTATGCACGTTCGATTTCTGGAAATACAATTCAATGTTGTTTCCCTCTGTTTCAAGAACAAGTCCAACGGCGTTACAGTAAAACTACTGCCACTGGGGTGACTTGTTCAAAGGGTGAAATGCTGAATTATCTAATCACTTGAATCGACCCACCAAATTCTTCGTCATATTGACTCGCTTAACTCCGAAGCACTGAATGTCACCACTAAATTCATCTAAGTCATTGTTAGTCGCTTAATTGAGATCAGGGAACCCCGCTTTCAGCCGTAACGAAGTAATTCTTTCAACGAGTAAATATCATTACCTTTGATTGAGATTCCTCCCATGTACACCCACGAGCCTCGCAGAGAGTTTGGTTTCCAATTTCAGGATAACAGTCGATTTTGTCTGTGTCCAAGACATGCTGTGCGAAAACCGACGATAGTCCAACGGCAACGATTAAGCAAAGAAGCATCGTTTGGTTGTAACGGGACGCCATTACAAATTTCCGCCCGTGGCGTCTTTTTATTTCAAAGCTGTCACGAGATAAAGAGCTGTGCTTGGAGTACCAACAGACCTTGTCTGACCCCTAGCTGTCGATTATGTCAGTTAATTGGTCACGCCATAGTCTCTAAAGCGGGCCGTTTCTGGGGGAGGAAAATGTGACGTGACATCGCAAATAAAACAAATAACGCCACATACAAGTGTTGTCACGCTCATCCTCTCCTCAGAACGAATTAACAAATACTGGGGAGAGAATGTCCTAACCATGATGTGGGGTAACAGAAAGTGGTGTTTGCTATTTGTGGATAGGAATGTGAAACAGTGATTACTTTTCCTTTTAAGACACTTAGCACCTTGTTTGTCTCCGTAATCATGATTTATTGTTATTTTGTACATACATAAATAACTTTATTTAGTACTACAGATATGAACATCCTGCCCAATTACTGAGTTAAAATAACTTGAAACTGAAAAGTTAACTTGTTACTGAAAAGTTTTTTTTTATTAAATAATTTTCTTAACTTTTTTGATCATGTGATCTGATCAACTAATCGTGGCAGCACGATTTCGAGCTCAAGACTGATTCATGCATCACCTCCTCCCTATCTCCCAAAAATATATATCCCACCATTATGAATGGAAAGTAGCTTGCACTCAGAGACATCAAAAATTTTCTGAGTTTCTTTTCCCAGTTGATTTTGATGGGGCTGAACCAAATTCTGACGGATCGCTGATTTCAGCTGGCAAGACGCCTACAAGACGCCTACAAGAAACTGAATCACGTCAAACTAAAGTGGTATCAATGTCGACATCTCGACATTTCCCAGCCTTAGATACGAGATAACTGGGTAGTCCGTAAAGATAGTTAATAATTCATGTTAGAGTAGTTTTCCTAAACAGTAAATATCTAAGGCTGCAGTCCACCGACAAATAATTGGTTTTGCGACACTCTACAAAGCATTTCCTTTTTCAAATTTGCATAACTAGATTTCTCTGATGGTATAAGTGCCACATGAAACTGATTCAAGTAAAGTCAAGCGCCATAGAGAGTTTTGGCTCAATGTCTGCCGCTCTCTCGAGTTAATGTCTTCGTCCTCGAGGAGCGTCGGTTAATTACTTGAACAGAGGCTGGCTATCGAGTTTTGGATAATTAAGAAACATTGCCGTTTGAGTTTTAACCTTTGGCGGAACAAACGGGAACGGATATGTCGATTCACAACTGGAAAGTCGTATTTCCTCAACAATCGTGTCATTCAAAGTCAAACGGTTGCTTGATGATATTCAATGTCATTATAGGTAACGATTGTCCTTAAATGAGCTCATTATCATAAAGGAACTTAAGACAGCCTCTTTCTTCTAGGTCCTCTAGGAATCCCATATGCGATTGGACTGCTCTCTCAAAGTACGGTAACCGCGTAACTGAGTGAGTGATGGTTTTCAAGGAGAGTTGATGCAATGCATACACACAACACACCGCAATAAAAACGTTCATGAACTGTTCCGAGTTGAAAGTCATTCCACTTGACTTTTCCAATTGTTCCTGATAAAATCGAACAAGGTCTGTACGACTTGTTATTTCACCTCTCTCTGGAAGAACAAATGCAAGGAACTCAACCACGTCATGCTGAGGTGCATGAACTGTCGCCATTTCCCAGTCATAGATACAGGACACTCGACATAATTTGTTGTTTGCGATAAAAAAGCGGTTATGGTTATCTTCCGTTGGAAATTCTTGCTTGCGGAGGCACACATTTCTTGGAGTAAAATCATAGTGAACTAAAGTCCTTGGAAATGACTCGATTACTTTCCATACGCGGTCCATGTTGTCAATAAAACTTCTGACAAGATTCGTCCTAACATTAAGAGAAAAACACAATTTTCATCATAATATTAAAACAATTTTTCAGTTAGTACAAAAGTGATCCGGGATTTCTTTTGTTTTGCTTTACCTTGCTCCGTGATTGGTCCAGAAAATCCGTGAAACTTTCGCAACCAATCAGATTCAAGACTAAAACCAGTCGCCCCTTAATAACTTGCGTTTACGTGCCAAGGAATTTGCTGGTTTTAACTTTGAGTTCTCATCGGCTCTTTGTGATATTTTGATTTGGTTTTGGTTTCACGACACTCAATCTAAAAGCAGACCATACTCTTTGATCCACCCATTTAAAAGACAAGTAATCAATCTAGTTTAAAGTTACTTAATGCCAGGGAATGCACGAATCACATGCAACCAGTAAGGAGAAAAGAATACATCCATCAGGAGCCACTTACCGAGTGACAGCCTTTTTAAAGCGTTTCATTCAAGCTTGTTGCGAGAATTTTGCTTTTTAATTCTTTCGTTTTTTTTTTTTTTAAAGAACACGGCGTTTAACCCTTTGATTCCTAACAATGATAAGTATCTAATTTTTCCCAACAGTATCACCCCTGAATCAAACATTTAGATCAAAGAAACAAATGCGAACGAAAGAGGCCCTTGACTGTTGGACAAATTCTCCTTTTAAGCATCATAGGCAATGTACAGAAGATAGTATGGAGAATTTGCATACTGATGGTAGGGTGTAAAGGGCTAAGTTAACTTCTTTTTTTTACAAAGAGCGTGAAATGATTCTTCCATGGCTCATTGTTCTTTAGTTTAATTCTTACCCGAGTATTGCAGTTATTGATTGAGTGAGTTTGATGTCTAGAATAACAGAGTTCGCCTTTAGTTTCCTTCGTCTTGAGAACGAGGCGTTTAAATTTTAGGCATGGGCAACAAAATAGAGAACATATTATTAGGCATGTTAGACCTTAGTCACCTTTTCGTAGTCCACAGATCAGGAAATGTCACGCAGTTGTGACGCAAAAGGGCGTACCAAAAATCTGAGAGCGCCTTCATAACGCTTCCGCTGTAAAAGCACATCCAGGGCTCAGATTCTAGGTTAGTTACGTTGTCAAGATGGATGCTATGGAAACGAGCAATATCTCGCAGAACCACCTTTGAAAATGAACCAGTCATAATAGTAATTAAAATAATAATAACAATAATGACAGCAACTATGAAGATGATGATGATAATTTAGTAAAATCCCGTTAATACGGCTACTAAACAAAAGCTGAAGTGTCAAGTGAACTTGACTGATTTAAACACTTTGTCTTCGCTATACAGGCAAAACTTCGAGAAGACCGGTCACTGTGAGAAACATGGGGATTTGGAAAAGAGAACCTCCCATACGTGCTGATCACGGAAGTGAAATTACAAGAAAAATGTCTCCTTCGTGCTCTAAGACCCGACCTGAAAATCATTGCCACCTTCTTGTGGCACTGAGTGGCATTGTTGCTTTAAGTTTCTTTTCTCCTTTCCATCAAATTACAAAAGATTCGTAGAGCGGTGGGACTTGCCTTAATATCTTCTTGATCCCAGACCTCTGACGCGTTATTGATGGTGTTAAAATGTGTCACGTGACCAGTAAGATCCTCCATAACTATTACAAAAACCTCCTATTAACCAATAAAAGAATGAGTACGTAAGCAGCAAAAGAGGTAGGCAGGTGAGACAGACAGAATCGAGTGAACATCTTGCAGCAAAAAGGGTTCAATTTCGCCTTAGAATGCCCTATCAACACGAAGGTGTAGTTTTGTCTTGTCTGCACTGAACTCTACTTTCTTTGAAGAGGACTTCGGATAACGTTTGACAGTTTGCCAAGCTGCTAAAATAGCGCTTTGATTAACTCACGACCGGGAGATTTCCGAGAAAGAAAAGGAATAATACAGACTGCCCTTACCTTAGAAGGATCACAGACAGTGTGATAAACTTTCGGTGCAATGTCTGTGAACCTTGAGTCCTGCGTCCTCATGACTTTAATCTCTCTTACATCAGAGTTCCTAAAAATCAATTTGATGGTCACACAAATATTAAAAGAAACACTCAAATTGCTCTCTATCGCTGGCAGTTTTCTCTTGTCTGATTATTTTCTGTCAAGTATTTTCCCCTGCTCTAACCTACAGAGGTGATGGATCAAGAAAGGAATTGTTGAAGTAAAGTGCCGTTGTCCGTTGCCACAAACACAGCACAATGCGCCACTCAGTGCTCAAACCCAGACCTCTCGACCGGGCGTTGAGCCCCATGAACTGATCACTGCGGCTCCACTTTACCTTGTTTGTTTGCTTTGCCCCGATACAGCTGGAGACGCAGGTGGGATAGATGAAGATGGAGACCCTACATCTTTGCAACTAATCTATTCTGGAAAATTTTTACCTGAAATAAGACACCTGGCGAAACATCTCAGCATACTGGCTTACTTCTCCGCTTTTTTGCTCGATCCAGCTTCCAAAGATGTTAACGAACTTGAGGGCCAGTGGCTTACACTTTGCGACAACTCGAAATGTTTTCCTTGCTGAATCTTCTACCATTCAGTTGGTGGAGGACAAAGAAAATACATCTTGTCAGCACATAAACGGTCTTATAGAGTCTAGAGCACCGAATTGTGTGGTCTTCTAAACTCTATACAGTTTCGGTTCATCTTGGTTAAGACTCGAGCTCGATTTGGCATTTTGCAGGGATTTGAGATCGTTTTTCAGTCCATCTATATAAGTTTTGAGACTGTTTCTCCAAGACCGTTTGAACGCAGAAAAAGCTGAGCGCAACTTTTTTTTCTCTCTAAGCCTACGTGTAAAGCTAAAAAAATGAAAGTCAAGTATTTTTGAAATTTAACAAAGCAAGAAAAAGAAAGCTGAAGCTCACCAGAGCTTGTTCTGTAAGTGATTTCAAATCCTTGGTGCCCAATCATTCGATCGTCATCTTTTATGGCTTTACATGTTGTGGTTAGACCAATGCTTTGCTGAGGGATCTGAGTAAGCGATTAAAACATGTGTTTATACAGAATTTAATGAAGTTGTTATAATCGTTTACGGCGGAAAATATATCGATGGCTCCGTTGAAAGATCTGGGAGCTACTCTGCAGTTATTTTCCCAATCGCTAAATTCTGAAAGGAAAACTTCAAATCTGTGAAAAGGTTGAGGTGCGCATAGTTAGTCATAAGCATGTGAATACTCCCTACCAAAGACGTTCCTACTCATTACTGCGCGCCGTGCACTTCATTCAACGAGCACTTCAAGCGCGTGCGCTAAACTTGAGAGGCAGTAACATATTTGATCCGTCAAAGTTTTCTTCGAATGGCGCGTAGTTTTGGTGTGCGTTTTTTTTTTTCATAAAGAGATGATGGAGAGTGGCAAGGGGAGAAACAAAGAAAAACACTTCAACTTTCTCCCCAACCATTTTACCTCGCGTCCTGGTAATTCCCACCTTTCTCAGACGATGTGCATTATCACTTTACCTCAAATGGATACCAAGAAACAAGTTTTCCTCTTTTTCCAAGGATACTTTGGAAAAACTCAACCGTCAACAGAGATGCAGTTGCGCCTTTACTTTCCATGCTGTTGCTGTTTTTGTCTCGAGCCTTTTTAATACCTTCTTCTGACAGGAAACACGGTCTGCTGCAGTATGGGGAACACAATTCTGCCATTGAATATCTGTGATGAAAGTAAAATGAGTTAAGTTTCCGTCAATGCTTTCCCAACCTAAAATTCTGAACTTGTTTTTACTAAAAAAAATCTCATACAATCCTAAAAATTCGCCCACGGCGCAATGTAAACATATTCGCATATTCACGGAGGCTCATTGTGCGGGCTTGAGCTACCTATGCTTTACTCAAGGTAGTTTGTCAGCCAAAGACAGTTGACTACAGCTGAAAGTAAACACTGAGTAAATTACTTCCGATTGCCGTATCACTTACAATAGACCTTCTTCGCCTTGTTGTTTTGTTGTCCCATTCGATATTACTTGAGGGATTATTTCCTTTGAAAATCGATAAAATGAAAGGAGCCTAAATTACTATCGCAAGATTTCGAAATTTACCGAATTGTTTTCAGTATTATGAGTGGAAATCTCTTACACTCTTGTACTCTTTACCATAGCGCTATTTATTCATTATCATTATTATTCTTTGAATCTTTTGTTCCACCTGAAATCATGCACATGATAGATGACCTCCGTCATGCTGTATGCTAATATTAACAATTGCAATCAAAGATCAGGTTGAACTTAGGCTTTCTCTTGTTTGTGGTACTTTGGGTGCATTGAACAGTGAAGCGAAAATATTGTATTATACTCAGAAATTACTAAGCTTACATTTCGAAGCCAAGATTATTTTGTTGGCGCGTTTCTTGGTAAAAGGCGTATTGTAAGATTTTTGAATTGCAGACTGTCTGCCAACTTTGTCGTTAATACAATGCGCGAGCGCATGAGAGGATCGAAAGGTTGTTTTGGTATTATAAATGCAAATAGTTTTGATGATGCACAAAAGCTCTCTTATATGGATTTAGCCTCCATCAGCACCTAAAGTTAGTGATATGTTTCTGTAGTTCAATATAAGAGGAAAAACAAAGCTAGAAAATACTAGTTATCTAAAAATTTCTAACACTCTGTGTATACACAGACGATTACTTGCTATTGTAAGACACTTTTGGTTATTTTTCCTTTGGGAATGATTGTTTTCTCCACTGCTAGCAGGTTCGCCCTATTCGCTAGGACTCAAACAATCAAACAACAAAAATTCATTCATAAAGACTAGAAAGAGATTGTCAACCATTTTTGTGCAGAGTCGGAAACATCGTGGGTTTGTTACACGAAAAAGAAAAAGCTTACCAGATTAAGGTTTACCCCAGTTCTTGAATGCAGCACTTATAAAATCACCGCAATTCTCGCTTGATCGAAGGTTAATTCCTGAGACAATCACGAGTAAACTTTACAGAAATAAGATTATGCTCCGTCAACGTGCAGGTTCCCACGTGGAACTGAATAGAGTCCTCACTGCATGTGCATATTCCGACGGATTTTTGATCCGTAAGTAAAGTAAAACGCCAAATTCTATAAGTTCGCAAGTTACAGTTCCCTAGAAGTCTACCAGGTAGAATTTCTTTGCGAATTCTTACGACGATGCTCTCGTTCGTGGGTAGAGATGTATGTCACGCAAAGATGTTTTGAACCGAACCGCACCTCTTTGTTTTGGTTGAGTGACAAATAGACAGGATGGACTCGTGGCATATGGACTTGGACTATGGAACGAGATGAAGATAAAGAAAAATATGACACAAGGAAAACGGAACTTAAAAAAATGTGGGATATTATGTTGTATAAAATTTAAGAAAAGCAGATTTGCAAGAGAACTAGTAGTTCAACGGCAAACTCTATATTTTTACCATCTTCATTCCTAATTTTAGAGACACGATAAATTCGAAATTTCTCAAGTCACGATGGGCAGAATTTCTCTGAGAAAGGGTGGAAGCGTACTAAGGCAATCACCTAGGACCCGCAACGACTAAATAGCTACTGAATTTTTATTGCGGTAATGAGTGCATATATTTCTCTGCTGCGCAGGGTGATTATTTTTTACTGTGATTCAGATAAAAGTCAACACTAACAATGACGCTCAGTGACAAGATCGCGCCTGCTGTTCAAATTCCCGTCGAAAATTCAAATCTTTTTAAGTCATTTGTTTAACTCTCGTCTAGAAAGAGACCAGAAAATTTTACAGATGGGTGAAGAACCGATTGAAATTAAGACTGTAGGCATAAGGTCTCAACCAAGGTTTAAACAAATCTTGCGCACACGAGGCGCTTGTAACAAACTTTCGAGGGCGACAAGCCGTCTCAGTATAAGCCTTGTTTTTAAACCTTATTTATCCGGCATTTGAATAATCGATCGCCAAAAAACACAATATCGATGAGCTGTATTCTGGAATGAATAAAACCTACCCTTTTTTCAACAGTAGAAAAGGGAAGACAAACACTACAATTCGGTAATTGGGTTCTCGAATGCCGATTTCTACTCAGAAAAATTAGGTCACGTTTCAGATGAAAAGAGAAAAAACATATGCTTTTAAGTAATAAATTTAAAAAAGAGGAAAATAAAAGGAAAAGAAAAGGCAAAAAAATTATAAAAATAAAAAGCTTGCTACCGCCTAGAGTCGATCCCTCGACCTTTCACTTGCCGAGAAAAGCACAATTCACTGCGCAGAGTATGCAAATGTAATTTAAAATTGGTAATGTGCTTTCAGTGAGTGGACCAAAATTTTCAAAATGCGAAGTCAATTCAGTGGCCTCGGTATTTTATCCTTCCATAATTCATTTCCGCGTTTGACGGCCCTCAGCCATTTTGACTTTCACGTTTGTTCGCATCGTTTGCATATAGTGCTTTCCTTAGAAAATGTGATTTCTGACGGTTGAGTGACTAGGAACGAATTAGTCAGAAATTACTATTCTGATGGCACGATTGAGAGGTTTTAGTATTCTCAGGGGAGAGTTTTGAGTATTTAATGTTTTAGCGGGGAATATTAATCATTCTAGCTCAGTCAGTCTTCCTGTCTGCTGTCAACAATTTAGTTAAATTTTTTCTATGGAGTATGGGTTTGTTTGTACCTCTTCCCCGAGGTTCCGTGCCACTGCATTAGATGGGGAATACGTTTCCACATAATTTTTGGCCACATCTAAGAGTGGTTTTTTAGTGGTTTTTCGTATCTGGCGTGGTACACGCCAGATACGAAAAACGCCAATTTTTCAAGCTTTTCATGTTAGACTTGCTAGCATATTCTATGTTGTAATAAGTATATGTTACGTCACATTGTTCTTGTCGGATGACTGACTGACCATTCCTCAATAAACTATTTCACTTTGAATGTTTCGTGATAGTGTAGTCAGAATTAAGTAAATGGGGTACGTTTTTAAAGAAACTGTGTCGCTGCGTTGGTGGGAGAGCATAACAGGGTAATTTAGTATTATCAGCTAAATTATAACTTACATTGGCCACCGTAAAGAGTTTCAAAGCTGACTTTTCGAACGTTAACCCTTCGTCGAAGCTTCCACTGCTTTTCTGAGGGTCGAGCTAAATTTTTTCAAGGAAATGGTAGTTTTGATTTTAGTTGCGCAATTGTTACATTTATCACAGCATTCAATGACCTGACACGGTTTGATGCTACTCTAGTTTAAAGATTTAATGAATTAATGTAACCGAGAAGTTACGACCTGGTTCCCATGTGAACTTTAATATATTCAATGACCTGTTTGCTTTGAGCCTTGCTTAGTTCGGGTAGCTTTTTTTCCCGGTCGGTAACATGTCACGGCCGCACCACTGGTTTCATGAGTGACATAACCCTCGAAAGCTTACAGCTACATCATCTTTAGCTCTGCAAAATAAACCCTCGATCGATTTGCCTTGTATTTAAAGGACCTTTTTTACTAAAAGCGGCACTTAAAATATCCACTTGTAGAGAAATGAGCCTCGTAAAAGGATATTTGAGACCCAGGGTAAAAACAAAGAGCACTGTAAACTCGTGTACCCATTAGGTGCCTACTTTTTATTTTGAATTGAACCTTGAATCCTACTTATTCAGATTAAATTTTATTTTGAATTATATTTTTTGAATTATATTTTTTGCAGTTACCCTTGTGACCACGCATATTTTGGTTATTTATTTCAAGCACTCTAAAGAACAATATAAAAAAAATAAGAAAGTTCCTGTTGGTTGACCTCACTCCTACCGGTCTGAAACGATATTTGCCCTCAACAAGTAAGCTAAAAATTTCAAATGCAATGTACAAAAGCCACGGCTGGAATTAAATACCAGTAACAATTTGATATTTCCTATGCTCAACTAAGTGCAGCTGGTTTTAAAATGAAATCCAATCCAGTAAAATGGGAAACTATGCATCTCAGTATAACATATCCGATAAAGATTAATGAGAAAAGGATACTTCTGTCTATTTATTTTTTTAGAGGGGCCATCATGCATCAGTTTGTGACTCGCTCCGAGGGCCGACGAGAATGTCTTCAGAAATGGTATTTCTGTGCTACAATTTGTTGCTTCCGCGAAAGTATCCTCGTTGCATTAGAAATAAAAAATCGCGCTTTCCAGCAGTAAGTTAGGTACTCGTGCCTACAAAGTATGCCTATCATTCGAGCTATAGGTAGATACATGTAGCTGTAAACAGTACATTAAGCGCTAAGATGTGAACTGAAGACAGTTGCAGACACAAGACTTACCGTTTGATGAGTCACAACAAGTCACGGAGCTTAAAAGAACTTGGTAACATTTGTTCGAGGACGCTTAAATATTCCAACAAGCTGTCGAGGTTACGGTTTAAAACGACGCTATTTTTGTGTTCAACCATTTGCTTTTCTATATTCAGTGTGTACCTTGCTGTTTGGTCAAATGACTAAGGATCGAGATATTGTTTACGCCCAGGCTCTGCCCTTTCTTGCACCCGTCTGAAAGCCTAGGCATTTTGCCAACGAAACTGAAAGCTTATACAGCGTTCAATTTCACCAGCAGAAGATGTCAAACCTCAATATCTATCAGGAATACAATTGTGTCAATAATCTTGAGATCAGCGTAAACAGAAACGGGCCAAAGTACGCATGGGTTACCAAACTGGCTCAGAATTTGTATCTAATTTTGGGCATGCAATAGGGACCCGATTGGCATAAAGGTATTATTAGAGTCACTGTTGTTAATCGGCTTTCTAAAGGGTCTACAGGAGATAATTATAATTTGCATGGGCATATTCACCTCCTGGAGAAGACTTTTGATTTTTTCACTCCTCCTTCAGCTCGTTTTTTAGTTGTGAAGATGCGTCCCTGACCCATGATTTCTTTGTAATCATTTATAATGAGAAGGCAATGTTTTCTAGTGACTGAAAAGTTCATATGTCACGCAATAGCTATGAAATTTAGGCAAATTTGTATTCCTCTTGATTTACCTTAGTCACTTAGCCTTGCGTGTAGTTTTCTTACCAAAATAATAACTAGGCTAGTGTAGTTATAGACAATATGGTTCCATTTTCTTCCGTACGAAAATCGTAAGCCTAAAATGAGCAATATCGCACGTTTTCGTGGGGCCCTTGCTTTCATTATCCTCATTCACTGACAGAACCACCAGGTTATACTACTTATTATAAAATGAAAAGGGCAACGGGACTTGCCGAGGTGTCAACCTATACTAGATCCAACCTTCAAATTTAATCGGCCGTTTTTTCATTTCGAACGAAAGACGAATACCGACTGGTCACGTGATAAACTGATAGACTGTCATCGAGACAAGTAAGGCAGAGTTGGTAAGCAAGTATCTGTCGAGAATTGTCGTCGAGCTTGCAAATCATGGATTGTTTCTGTTGCCTTTTCGAAGGAAGGTGGACAAGCGCGAGTGGAAAAATCCGCGAGACACTCACGCGTGCTTTCACGTTTCAGCTTTTGCCTCGTTTTGAGACAGAGGCCAGTGAGAGTGTGGCGCCAAATATTACCCAGAGCTCAAATAGTGCTTTTGATATATTGTCACGTTTTTATGAATATTTTATCATTTACATTATTTCTCCTATTGAAACGAGGGGTACAATAGTAATGACAACAAATCTTATACCATCATCATAAGACCACAAGAAAAATGGTAGGTTTGTTTATGTTCAATGCTCGATGTTGTTCGCAGCATCGCAACCGTTTCTCTCGTCTCTCGAAGTGAAGTTCGGCAATCTTTCGCTCTGACTCACTGGTCTCTTTCGGAGGAAGTATGATTGAGAATAAGGAAATGAACTTGGTACTTTCGGTTTAGAAAAGCTAATATGATTAAGCGTTCTTTCGTGTACTACGGACCGATTTTTCCTTCTTTTATTGATTTATTCAAATGAAAATAAACGAAATTATGTCCAGTTCTACTGTGGGTTCAGCTAGAGTTGATATTGATGCAAACTTTGCAAAATACTGCATTGGCTAATAGTTGAAACACAGACATTTCACTGTGCTCTGAAATTTTTAAGTTTTTCTGTATCATGAACCTGTCATTCATGAAAATATAGCCGTTGGTAAAGCATAATATACGTTGATCAGGGAAAACATTGGTCTAAATAAGTGACTACTACATAAATAATTATTATGGTGAACGTGAAGTCTGTTCTTTCATTGTT